GCCGCTACTGACCGCGGCGCGGTACTAAGCAACTTGTGTAATTTCGCCCACATTCCCTTCATAAGTCCCCTGGGCAATTACCGCCTAATGCCTCCTGTGGAGGAGGGACTTGAAGACTCTGTCGCGTACCGGGTCGCGCCAGGCACGCCTTCTGCGCATGGAGGTGCCGAAGCGGAAGAGTATCCTCTGGAGGAACGGAGGGGTGACTTAGAAGCAGTCGTGTAGGATCCGATGCGCGGACACTTGAGTGGATGTACTGCATGCACGATCCGGTATGCACGATCCGAATCGAATGACGCCCAACCTGCACAGAAGCAATGCGCATCCGCCTTGCATCTTCTTCTCGTCAAACCGCGTGAGAAAGCGCAGCAGCCTCCAGGTCGCCTGTCGCCACAACCGCTCTTCTTTCGACTCGACTGCCATATTGACCATGACTGCTTGGAGCTCTGGCTTTACGAGTGACGCTCACCCATGCAAGCAAGGACATCTAGGTCCACTCTCCCAAACGCTATATCATTATATTTATCTCAGGCCAGCATCCGGCCGTGCTTCATACAACAGTGTGCTCAAGGAGATCCAGACACAGGATCTCGGGTGAGGATGTGGAGTTTCCAGCCCTCTCCTCCTGACGGCGTCATATCCGTCGAACTCTTCAGCGTCATACCAAACTTCTCGTACATCTTGACCTGCAACTACCCGTCAGCATGCTCGGTCTCGAGCGCTTGTCATCTACCGGCTCACATTGTCGTCCTTTCCTGTCCACAGAGTCATCTTGGCGTTCATCGCATCCGCCTATCACGATTTCAGTACAGCAGATCCACCGGAGTAGAGCATACGCACCTGGTGAAGTGCGAGGTTGAACATCTTCCGCGCGATCCCGTGGCCTTGATGATCGGGTCTGACCATCAGCATCTCGCATTCGTAGGAATGAACCTCGGCCTGGGGACTCTGTCAACTGCCGCCGTCATGCGATATAGAGAATTGGGCGACACACCTCCTCTATCCCGACCGCCTCATCCATCAACTTGGGAATGGCCTTCGCAAACTATATGAGGTTATCTGATCAATCGACTGACGCCCGTCACTCTCAGCTGTGGCACGTACAACGTTCTCAACATGGTCGGCCATCTCATCGGGTAATTTGGCCATGAAGTCTTGCAAAAAGGACTCGCGTCGGAGCGCACTACCATCTCATTAGACACGTCTGCCAGCGGCATACAAGCGGCAGTGCTCACGCCTCTTTATCGGGTTGCCCGGGCGGGCTCCAGAACGACGCGCCAACCAGCGTGCCCTCCTCGTCCGTCGCGGCATAGAGACGCGCGCTCCCGCGCATAGGAGTGAGCACCGCACGCCCGAGCTGCCGCATCAGCTCTGGATCTCCGCCTGTGAATGCACGGGCGGGAGGATCTGTCATGTATCAAGGGCGCAAGCATCAGCGCCGGCTGCGATGAAGCTGTTGAGATGACGAAGCGGGCTACGCACCCTCCACGAAGGCCGCGCAGAAGAGGTCGGCGGCTTCGTTGATCGTTGCCTCTAGCTCGTACTCAGCATCCTGCGAGGCCAAGGCTCGGCTAGATGGGCTCACCGCTTGGCCGTTCGATGACGAGGATATGGATGGTGCCGTCTTCGAGATCCAGATCTTGAGAGTCGGACGCCATTGGGAAGGACAGATGCTATAGAAACGCTCGGTCGCCGATCTCAGCGAGGGTGGTGGTTCTGTGACAAGATAGTATATTGATTAGCATAGCCAGTTCAAAGGGACTCGGAAGCTCACGAACGGGCGCTCGAGCCTGGGACACCCGTTGTTTCGTACTATTGATCGTCCCTTAACGGACAGATCAGGGTCGTTTGAGATCTCTATTCATAGAGATACAGCGTAGACAGTCCTGTCCGAGGGAGTCTACATAGAAAGAAGTACGTAATGGTATCCCAGTCTGAGTATTTACTGAACCAACACATCACATGAGTATAATTTCCCGATTTCCCGTACCGCCTGCTTCAAATGAACATATGCACTTTGTGCATTAAACACTCAACGGTTCGATGGCGTAGTTGGTTATCGCATCTGTCTAACACACAGAAGGCCCCCAGTTCGAGCCTGGGTCGAATCATTCTGTCGTGGAAGAAAGTGTTTTGCCTTTTCTCCGCGTGCAATTGTCAACCTGTGCCGCCATCAGACGCGTCGCGTCACGTCCGCGGTCCCGCCCGCGTCAATCCCCGCCAAGTCGCGTTCAAATACGATCACGTCTCTTTCCCGAACGGCCATGTCACTGACCCGCTTCCCGCGCGCGTCTGCACCACTCCTGCGCGCTGCACCCTTGCAGCTGCGCAGAACCTACGCCACAGAACTACCGCGGCCTCCCCCTTCCACTCCTCCCCCGGCCGAAACCTTCTCCGGCGCATCGAAACCACGCGAGTATTATGCGCGCCCCGCTCCGAGAGATCTGCCCCCCTATCGAGTTCGTGCGTTTCATAGAAGCCCTGCGCCCGAACTTCTCTGCTCAAATACGTCAATATCAGCCGGCCTGGCCCATGCTGCTTCTCGCCGGGGCTGCGGGTATAGGCGTCTGGGTCCTTTTCTTCCAGTACACCTCCAACACCGAACGGATGCATAGCTCGATCGTGCAGCGTATTCTGACCATTCTTCGAAATGATCCTGAAGTACGGGACACGCTTGGGGACGCGATACGTTTCGAGCCGACATGGTGGTTAAATGGCGACCCTTGGGTATCTGGCTCGGTGCGCAGATAACGGATGATGCTCGTCGGACAGTCGTGCTAAGATCTTTCTTCAGATTGCTATGATGAAGGGGAGGAATGACCTTAGCTTCAGAGTCAAGGGCCACAAAGGTGTCTATTCCCCACGCTGGTGCCTTCATCGTGGGCTGAATGACCTTGTCAGGTGCCGGAACTGTCTACTTCACCGACATCCGCAAGAGGGGGGAACCTTGGACAACGTGTAAGCACCCACATAGTCTCCTCTCCGTCCCAAATATCTGACGATGTTCTGCACCAGTACGCTTCAAGATTATCGCCGACAATGGGGAGGTCATTCAACTGACCTTCGACTAACCCCGTCTATTGCCCTCTTTCGCCTCATCCCGAGCGCCTACTGTCCCAGATATCATGGCTTCTTATTGCAATACACCTGTACCATACACACGTCCACCATAGCTCGTTGGCTTGCTCATTTTGCATTGTTATTCGAGTCTGACGTCGGACGGCGTTAATCACATGGGGGGCCGCAATGTTCCGGCCATACCTAGCTCTAGTTCCCGCCCCTTGGAGGGAGCGTCCCACATACGATGAAACCTGAGGTATTTCGGGACGTAGTATGGGGCCAATCGCTCGTGTACGGCTGACGTGAAGAAGATTGGTCGCGTTAACCGTCAACCCTAACCTTAGCAAGCGCTTACTCTACTAGTCGATGCCGACCGAATTAGGGGTCGCAATGCACTGACTCCACCATCAGTGAGAGCACTTCCGTCAGAGGTATAAGTTGTCAATATCATTAGTACTAGAGTGGTGTGGTGCGATGGGGTGGTGTGCGTGAGTGCAATCCGAAATAAATCTAAGCTATACTATACTCCTCTATCTCCTGCTGAGCCCGTCTACAAAAACCTGGGCTTCTCAAACGTGCTGAACGTCTGAATAAGATCTCCCTCCTTGAGATCGCTGAACCCCTCAATAGCCATGCCACACTCCATGTTCTTCCCCGCGGAGCTCACGTCCTCTTTGAGGTGCTTGAGCGTGTCGAGTTTGCCCTCGAACACAACCTCGCCGTTGCGGACGACCTGCACTGATTTTGCACGCTCGATTTGTCCGCTTGCGACACGACAGCCTGCGACGCGCTTTGTACGGCGCCCTCCGACGCTGATGTCGAAGAGGCGCAGGACATTCGCTTCGCCGGATACAGTCTTGCCGAGCTCGACGGGGAGGAGCTTGGTGACGCGCTCGCGAACGTCGTCGATGACCTTGTAGATCACGGCTGAGGAGTGGACGTCGACGCCGTTGCTGTTCGCGAGACCATGTACGGCTTTCGGTACATTCACGTTGAAGGCGATAACCATACCTATTTGGGCGTGAAATCAGTACCATAACCGAAAGGCGGGAGAACAAGAACGTACCATCCGCTGCCTTGGCGCGAAGAACGTCAGACTCCGACACCTCCCCAACGTCGCTCGCCACGATCTTGACTTTCGCCTCTTCGTTGCCAATATATTGTAATGCCTCCACAAGCGCCTCCGCGCTCCCACTGACATCGGCCTTAACAACCAACCTCAACTCCTTCACCCCCGTATCCTCCTCCGCCTTCTTCTCCCACTGCTTCACCGGCTCGGAACTCGCACTCTCCGCCGCCCTCTCCTCCTCCTCCCGCGCCTCCCTCTCCGCCCTCCGCGCCGCATTGATAGCCTCCACATCCGCCAACATCGCGTCCTGCTCCGCCTTCCTGAGCCGGTTCGCAAGCGCGCGCTTAACGTCCGCCTCGGGCGCCTCGAGCACTTCGTCGCCCGCGCCCGGCAGCTCCTTCCACCCGCTGACGGTCACCGCGTCGCCGGGGAAGGCCGCTTTGACGCCCTTGCCGGCCGAATCGGTCATCACGCGCGATTTGCCGCTCACTTTGCCCGCGATGAGCGAGGCGCCGGGTGTGAGGCGCCCGCGCAGGACGAGGACGGTCGCGACGTTTCCCAGGCCCTTTTGCACGCGGCTTTCGAGCACGAAGCCGTGTACGGGCCCGGTGCGCTCGGCCTTGTAGTCGGCCACTTCGCTCACGGCTCCGAGCGTCTCGACGAGGTCTGATAAGCCCAACCCTGTCAGGCCGGAGACTTCGACGGCCGGGACTGACCCGCCAAGGGGTTCGGTCTCGACGCCTTCGACGAGGAGCTGGTTGAGCACGCGCGTAGTGTCCGCGCCGGGTTTATCGCATTTGTTGAGGGCTACGACGAGTTGGAGGTTGTCCTTCTTCACGAGCTCGATGACTTCTTTCGTTTGCGGCATCACGCCGTCGTCCGCTGCTACAACCAGCACGACGATATCCGTCACGCTTGCTCCGCGCGCGCGCATTGCGCTGAATGCTGCGTGCCCGGGCGTGTCGAGGAACGTGATGGTTTGTCCTGGTCCGCCGGTGGAGTTCTTGAGTGGGACGGAAAAGGCGCCGATGTGTTGGGTTATACCGCCGGCTTCGCCTGCTGCGACGGATGCGGAGCGTAGTGTGTCGAGGAGAGTCGTTTTGCCGTGGTCGACGTGACCCATGATTGTTACGATTGGCGGACGTTGTGGTAGGGCGGAGGTGTCTGCTGGCGCGGCAGGTGGGTAGATGTCGAATGCAGCTTCATCGTCGAATACGGCGTTGCGGCCAAACTCTTCTGCCAGAAGTGCGGCATAGTCGGCCGTCAGGACTATTATGTTGTTAGTACCGAATTCAGCGATGACATAGATGAAGACACCCACTGTGATCATACGAATCCTCGCCCTCCATACCCGCCTCCCGCATCTTCCTCTGTAGCCTCGGCAAAGGCACCTTCAACAACCTCGCCAACGTCCCAACGCTAACCACATTTGGAATAAACACGTCGACCTTCACCCTCCTCTCCTTCGCCTTAAACACCCGCTTCTTCGGCTCCTGGCCGTGGGCATTCGTTTCCGGATGCGTCCCGCGGCGATGCGAGTCGTGCAGGATGGCGTCGGGCCCGTGGTGGGCTAATGAGCCGCGAGATTTGAATTGGAGATTGTCGCGCTTTCGAGAGGTCTTTTTGTCTTCTAGACGGCGGAAGGCGGCTCGGCGCGAGTCGTCTTGTTTCTCCTTTTCCTTTTCCTTCTCCTGGGCCGGCTGTTTGCCCTTGCCAGCTGCGTCCGCGTTCGACCGTGTATCTTGGTGCGCACCATCGTTATCCCGAATATTACGCCCGCGTGACTCTTCTTGAGGGACGCGGGCGAAGTGGGCTGGGCGCTCGCGCTCGAAACGACCAGAGTCGGCGTTCTTCGACGTCGAGCCTTGCTGGCTCAAACCAAATGCACGAATCGCTTTCTGCAATGTGTATATATCAGCCTCTATATGACGTTAAACACGGACAGCACTGACCTTCGAGGGCAATGTCAGACCCGGTTGCGGTTGCTGCTAATCAATGTATACACATCAGTTCACATGTCAGAAAGAGTAGTAATGGAAGGATTTACTGGCCGTGCGGCCGCCCATTTACTAGTACCAGCAGGTGGCGGAGCGGGAAAGGCAGGGCCCAAAGGCGCGTTCGAGCCCGTTGGAGGACGACTACGAACTCCAGGGAAATCGGAGGGCATAGGTGCCGGCCGTGCACCCAGGTTCGCTGGCCGCGCCCATTTATTTGGCTATTGGGGACATACAGAGATAGGTAAGTAATGATAACAGGTGGAGTTGGAGATGGGACGCACGGCTGGTTTGGCCGCTGTGGAAGACGCACGGGCGCCTAGCTGGCTAGCTAAAGCCTCTAGTGCCGGTCGTGAGCGTGTATGCATATCGCTCTCTTTAGACTTCAGGCCAAGTTATATGGCTCCAGTCTGTAGATCCAGTCGTGAAAGTGCAGATATGATACAGGAGAGACCGCGTCGTGGACGGAGCAGAGCCGCGACGCGTCCAATCATTTCGCGTGAGCGCGCGGCGGAGGCGGCGGGCACACTTCCCCACGATCATCTTCAAGTACACGGGCTGGTGCTCTTCCACCTCCAATACGTATGTTCTGGCCCGCGCTTAGTACCAAGCATGTCGCAGAGCTCGGCCTGGCCTATGTTCAGTCGTTAAGCCAGGGGTGGTCCTGTAGTGCGTGAGAACGCGTGCGGTCACGGCCGACCGGGCCGATCATGGGCCACTTTTGACTTTGATCCCGAACCTCCATGAGCGTCTGCCTCCCCGCTGAGACTCGAATCGCGGGCGCCTGAACCAAGACGAGGACTCCAATACATCTACTTATGACAATGGACCGAGATCAGCACATAACGTCGTTCACAACTTCGCTGCAACCCTCCAGACGCGCCCACATGCCTTCCAATACCTCTCCGGATACTCTCTAGCGTGCGTTATATGCCAGCTGCGCTCGAAGCGCTCCACCCGTACGATATGCCCCGCGCGCTGCCCATCCTCCACGTGCTTCTCGATGTCTCCGTGCATGATGATGCGGTCCCTCGGGGAGTAGAGATATAGCCGAACTGTAGGCAAGCCTGTCGTGACTTGCGGCAAGAGCACCGGCTCGTTGATTTTCTCGTGCGCTTCGGTGAAGATCGGGCGATGTCCACCCAGAGCATTGATCAGCAATGCCAACGTCCATCCTATGACCGAGACGGGGATGAAGGTGTACTGCTGGAATCGCGTTGGTAAGGAGAACGCGGTCGACCATATGACGCTGCGGAAGGCGTGCGTGTCATATCCGGGCATGGAGTCCAGAATGAGGACGGAGGGTGCGTTTGGCCAAGTGGGGATACCTGAGAAGTCGGTCTTGGCAAGTAAGTTCTTGAAAGTGAGAAGTTGAAAGGCTGCAGCTGACGATCATGCTCTTTAGATCGGTTCAAACGGAGACGAAGGCGGCTTACACGACACACCTTGGGAATGAAGGTGAACGTACAGGCCTCTGAAAGACCGGCGCATCGACTCACGCAGCCCATCAACGACAGGCTGCAGCGTTTTCTCCTGCGGGTTCACGTGGGGGGTCAGAGCAAGCATATTCTTGAATCATTGTGACCCTACTAATTCGCTGGATGACTTGAAGTGATAGGTCCGGAATGATCGAATGAAGTACATCGTCGATGTCGGATACGTCTCTCGAAGGGCCCTCACATGCCTGCGAAGCATCCGGAGATCGGCGTCCACTGTGCAGCGGTTGAGCGAGCTTCGTGACGAGGTGCTTTATGTGAGGATGTCTTACTGGATGCGAAGAATAATATGATACTGAACAAATGTCAGGGATACTGGCTCAATCCTTTCAAAGACGGAGAGACTTACGACGGGTGTGTAGTATCGAGATCAGCTTCTGATACACGATTTCTCGAGACGAATACGGTCTTGTTCAAAGCAATGAATGTGTTGTCCTTCTCAAGTTGGGGAGCTTCTGAGCCCATTGAGCCGCACTGTACACTGTGATGCGCTACAGCCGAGCGAGAGCCGGCAGGCCTTTCAGATGCAGGGTATCATCGAGTAATGTCTGTCAGCCAGATGTGCTTATAGAGTTGTCTTCAGGAAGACAAAAATGGCACCCGTCCTCGTCGGGCGATGGCACTGCTCGTGCCGATGGACATTGCTTATGCGTGTGGTCGACGCCATCAACGATTGCGGATATGACACGGCGACTCCTAACTCATAAGGACGATGGGCGACACCAGCACGAGAGCAGTGATGTCGGGAGCAAAGCATGAAGCTGCGCAGAACCATCTCGTGATTGAGTCCCGATAGTGAGAGCCTAGTCTCGACTTACAGCTGTCGACTCAGCCTTACCAAGTCAGGTAATCCTTCGCATACTCAGCCGCTAGGAACAACCAACCTTAGGAACACACTGCTTGTAATGCATAGGCGTATCGCTTAATGACCGTGTGCTTCCATTCATGAGCAGGAGTGCATCTTGGTCAGTGGGTCGATCCGAGGCACTTGCGCTATCGCCGATTGCAGATAGGATGGTCAACGCACTCACGACATGTAGTACACGAGCTGTGCTGCGCAACCTGATGCATCCCCATTGGCCCGAGCGCTCTGACAAGTATTTGTCAGTCACACAAGTACCGTCGCGCGGGTTCAGTCAACAATCCTCGACAACGGTCAAGCGGATATGCCACAGCGATAACTGGAGTGAACTCGGGGCCAACACAAGAGCGCCGGATCCCTTTCATCCGATATGACAATCGCCGCCGCGTTCGCTACTGGTTTGACTTCCCTCGACACGAATAGACACAGCATGATGTCCCTCTCAACGAGATAATCAACCGGCTGCGGTACGCGGTACGATCAAGGGATGCAAGTTTAGACGCAAAACTTCGCATACATGTGAGGTTCCAACAGTACTCGGAAACACGTATCGGCCTCAAGAACGAGATCTCATGAGAAGGTCGTAGATACCTCGAATTGGTCGGCTGCCATGCGTAGATAAGTACAGGAGCATCCCTCAATGAAGAACATCATCTCATGCATCGGCTGCAAATTGCCATTGTGGTAAAGATAGACTCCATCGTACATTGCATCTTTGTTGCTCGATAGATACTCGTAGCGTTTCTGGCTAGTCGTGAGGCTCAACATGACGAGCTCTCAGTCGACAGTCTACCTGCGCGACTGTCCGTGAGCGACCGAATCGTACCAAGAACCAGCACGTCCCGTTCTGCGAAACCGCTTCTTGGAAGTCGAAGTTTGCTAATCGAAGTCGAAGCCGCGAGTGGGTCGAACCTACAATACGACTGAATGAGCATCTGTACGATGTAGACACAGAACGTACCCACCTTCAAGGTCAACGTGGACCCAATTGCGGCTGCTACTGTTGCTGCTAAGTACAGTCACATCAGCCGATCAGCTGATGTGGATGGCAGTTGACGGTCTGCCGAGCGAGGGTAGGCAAGATTGTGCCGCTTCTCTGTCGCTGGCACCGGCAGGAGGCGGAGTAGGAGAGTCACGGCCCGAAGGCGCATTCGAGCCACGACTAGGGAAGCCCGTGGTTTCAGGGAAGGTCGTGCACCCAAACTACCAATCTGTGCTGAGAGCTTCAGTTCGTGAACTGAGGGCGGGGCATGGATGGGACATACGGCGGTTTCCGACGCTGTGACAGACGCGCAAACGCCTAGCGGACTACGCTAAGTACCAGCGAATAAAGCATCGCGCGCCGTTGTAAGCGTGGGCGCCATGCATCTCTCAGAAGCGCACGCCTCAGGATCCAGTATCATCATCATATATTCTCGGACATGATAGAGAGACAACATCGAGGACGGAGCAGAGCCACTACGCGTCCAAAGGAGCGCGTCTCGGAAGTGCGCGCGGCGCTAAGCGCTAAGGCTGGGTCCTGCGTCGGGTTCGATCCTCCAATATCTTGTGCTCCAGTAGCCAGCGCCTTATTTCCTGAACTCGGTTTACTCTCGAATACGAAAGCACCGGTACGCTAGGTCGGGGTTGAGAGCACTGGTGTTCACTTCACAACTTCCGCTATAACGGGGACGGAACGGAGCGTTAGGAATCGAACCCACTGCCTCCTCGACGCGCGTTCGCCGCAGGGCCACGGCTTCAACAAGCAACCCCGCACCAGCCCCAAACCAGCCCGCACCCAGCCGCACCCTCTCAGAAATGCCGTGATACGTTCATCTGAACAGCACTTGACGACAGCTAGAATGAGAGCTCGGAACAAAGATAGACTGTGCTATCAGTAGTCTTGTGGGACGTGAGAATGTCGCGGGCGCTGCCGATTCGGACCGATGGGCCATTTTTCACTTTGATCGCGAACATCCATGAGCGTCTTTTGGCGCGCCAGCGCGGATCGATACTCGAATTATAAGCGCTCGAAAGAATGTACTCATAACGTCGTTCAAATGTCGTTCACAACTTCGCGGCAACCCTCCATACGCGCTCACATGCCTTCCAATACCTTTCCGGATAGTCTCTGGCGTGTGTGATGTGCCAACTGCGTTCAAATCGCTCCATCCGTACGCTATGCCCTGCGCGTAAAGCATCATTTGCGTGCCGTTCTACCTCCTGGTACCTGACGATGCGATCCTTCGGGGAGTAGAGGTAGAGCCGAACGGTCGACTGGCGCGTCGTAACATGCGGCAAGAGGTCCCAGTCGTTGAGTCTCTCGCGCGCCTCGGTGAAGACAGGGCGATATCCGGTCAATGCGTAGTATGCTAGGGCCGCCGACCATCCTATCACAGAGACAGGTAGGAAGGTATACTGACGAAATCGCGTCGGCAGGGAGAACGCGGTCGAGTATATGACATTCCGGAAGGCGTGCGCGTTGTCTGCAGGCGTGGAATCTAGGATAAGGACGGATGGTGCGTTCGGCCACGATGGTATATTCTCGAAGTCGCTTTTGGCTAACAGGTTTCTCAAAGTGAGAAACTGGAAAGCCGCGCCTGACGATCATGCAAATCAGGCTGGTCTGATCGAAGCAGGGCCAGGTCAATACACGCACCTTGAGAATGCACATGGACGTACACTCCTCGGAAGGCCAGGCGCATCGACTCACGCAATCCGTCAACGACCGGTTGCAAGGTTGCCTCCTACGCAGTGACAGTCGCATGAGTGAGTTGCGCCATTAGAATGTTGAATTCGAGACCTAACTAGTTGAGCAGTCCTTGTGAAGTGAAAGGTTCGGAAGGACCGAATGAAGTACATCGTTGAGATCGGATACGCTCTTCGGAGTGCATTCACATGCCTTCGGAGGACTCGAAGGTCAGCGTCCACTGCGTGGTCGTTGAGCACAAGCGTTACGACGGCGAGCTGTCTACTACGACGGCTCACTCGATGCAAAGAATATGATGACTCTGAGACCTGGTTAGTAAGGCTTTCTCAGCTTCTATACAGGACTTTGGGACTCACGAAGGATGCGTATGGTCAGAATCGGCGTTTGATAGACGCGCTTTACGAAGGAATACAGTCTCATTCAAAGCAATGAATGCATCGTCCTCTTCGAGCGGAGGAGCGTCTGGGTCCATCCGAGCGACAGGGTACACCATGGCGTTCTGAATCGGAGACACGCTCGACAGAGTGTCCAGGTGCAGAGCGCCGTCATCGATCCTTGTATACAAAGCATCGCTCTATATAGAGCGGTATCGAGGTAGGCAAGCATGGCCACACATCTCCCGTCCGTATGCCCGCGCGATACAGCCAAGTCGCTCACTTTGACGGGCATTGATGTTCATCTCTACGTGCGACTGACGCCGTCAACGGTCACGTATACGCGGGAACTCGGTAGGACGCCGGGAGGCGACGCCAAGGTGATATAGTTGTTTGCGATAGAGCTCGGACCGTGACAATTCTGCCTACCCAGTCACCTGGATGGCCTCAGGCTGAACTTGCTGCCAGCCGGAGTATTCGCTCATGTTTATGAATGATGATGAGCTTCTGATCATGGCCGCCCGCGGGAGAGGAGAATGGCCTGTGAGCGTATCCGAGATTTTCGCACTGACTAGGTCTAGATGTATAGAACGGGGTGTGTACTGTTACTATGCAGTGCGGAAACGCACCGGGCCCTTGATCATCTCTCCTATCGACCCGCTCTATATTGTATCTTTATCTCCTAGTTCCCGCTCGTGTCTCACTTCACCTAAGTTAGACACAGACGAGACATATGCGGACAAGGTCGTCCAGTTACTCACCATCATATGGTGCAATGGAGGTGAGAGATGAAGCGACGATTAATGGAATCCTGTTCACAAGCCATGAGTTTTCCCGCTCCGTAGGTGCACGGAGCTGTCCCTCCGCGAACGGGTTCAATAGAAGAAGTCCTCTCAGCGATATAGAGTAGCACCGGTATGATTGAGGGGTACAAGCTTCAATGTATCACCCCGGATACACGCCCAGGTCCCGACAATCGCTTGGAACCATGTCTAACGCAAGGAGGATGGTATTGTACGAAAACGAGCACTCAACGCAGGAGTTCACGGACATCCTTCGTTGCATTGGTCCATCTCAAGTAGCGGAGGCTTTTCACCGTTGTGGTAGTAGATTCTGCAATAACCTACACACCAACGTTCCTCATCTTGGGGTCAATACATGTTTGGTCCATCATGCGGCTTGTAGCGAGTTCTCGTGCGATGGTTGGCCCAAGATGTTTCGTACCCGGAACTAGCACGTCTCTGTTCCGTAGACCTACGTGATGATGTTAAGGTTGTACGAGGCCTAGTTCGAGCTCCGCATGGGAAGAACATCATCACTCTTGTGCGCGTCCCGCAGAGTCGCGTTCCTCGGGGACCGATCCCGTATGCAGTATCTACCGCAAGGATGAGCGTTGTACTTTCACGCTACTAGTACGGTCGTACCATCCGGCATCCGGCATGTAGCCAGTGCAACACTGCCGGTATGCGTATAGGTGTATAATCCCGAGCGAGATTTGCATCCATGAGGTATGATGCAGGATCCAACACTATGGCTGTAAACGTCTCTGCCGACGATCATCGGAGTTCAAGGTACTAATGAGTGGCCGGATTGCAACACAAGTCTTGCTGGTAGGATATCACCGGCATATGTGACAGGGTAGTACCTTTACAGATCGTGAGACTCTGAAGCAGATAGGGGCAGGGAAGGTTTCTCGCGAAGCAAAGACCAACTCTATGGCATTCAGGGAGTATAGAGACATCGTTGAAGGCCCGTCAAGATGATCGTGGTCCGTCGTCGACTTGTGCCGCAGCAAGCCGCGCCGAGTTGCCGACGTGCGCGGGTTTCCCACGTCATCACGCGGCTGCCAACTGGCAGCGCCGCCACGAACCAAACTCGAACCGAACGGCGAGGTGCCTCGCTACGGTCCCCTTCCCAATGCAACCAGGCTCAGCGCTGGCATTTACATCTTCCATCTGTGACCTTACCCAAGTTGCCAAGCCAATTGTGTGGTACTCGATCGGGGGATACCGGCGTCCGACAGAGTTGCCAGCTGCGATAATTGATGGAACTTGTGGTACTGGGATTTGAGGGGATCGATACGGACCAGTTATCTCAGCCTCCACGCCTGACCCCATTTAGGAGTGATGCTCTCAGTGCTACGGGAGCTGAGCGGGAGAACATCATTCAGCGAGATAATCTACTACATAGTCCGGTACTCGAGCACTTGTGCAACCCTTTCGTCGTCCTGAAGTTGGTCTGCCCTGATTGCAGTGCACACCAGCGGTTCCCACTCAGCTATGAGCAATATTTCTGTCGATACAACGCAACATGCCGCACATGGTGTTTCCAGGCAGCATTCACCCCACTTTCTCGAGCCGGACAAAGACACCACTCAGTGCGTACTACCAGCACACTGCCTACAGGGTTGGGATTTCGAGACGGCTGACACTAGTCTCAGGTCCAAGAGGGTGAACTCTGCCGAAGAGGATGTGTGGAAATGGTCTGCGCAAGGGATCAACTTCTGGACGGTGATAGTCGCTTTGTCAATAACCGACTTCTTGTCGGCAATGGATCTGGTATGAATCCTTTCGCTTCCCCATGTTTCATCACACTGAGAATGATCGCATAGACAGCCGTCTCCACAGCGCTTCCCACTATCACCAGTGATCTCAGAGGCAATGACTTCATCTGGCCCGGGAGTGCGTACACGCTGGCCGCCACGGCGGTTGTCCCATTGTGCGGCGGGATGGTCTCGATCTTCGGGAGGAAACCTGTACTGCTGGTTTTGATCGCCTTCTTCACCTTGGGGTCCGCTCTCGCTGGTGCGGCGCAGAGCTTGACCATGTTCATAGCTGCGCGAGGTCTGTTCGCGATATATGCCTACTCCGAGTATCATCTGACGACATTTCCAGTCATTCAAGGTATCGCGTCAGGAGGATGCATCGCTGTGACGGAGATCATCTACGCAGATCTCGTCCCTCTGCCTCAACGAGGTATCGTCCTTGCAATCGCGGCAATGTGAGTGATTTTGCTGTTTCGAGTTTGAGGTACTGAGCTGAGCATGTTGCGTAGCATCTGGGCCACTGCTTCGTATGTTGATCAAACAAGTGATCACCAACTCTACCTAGAGATCTGACATACGCCTCCATAGTGCCATCGGCCCGACAGTCGGGGGTGTGATCGCCAATGCTGGCGCTTGGCGCTGGCTTTTCTATCTCAATCTTCCTGTATCAGGGATAGCGTTCGCACTGGTGTTCGTCTTTTTCAAGGTCAAGGCACCGAGGTCGACATTTGGCATGAAGATGCGGCGGATAGACTGGATGTGAGTCGTGTGATTTCTTCTCACTTCTATGAGGCACGTTTCATACAACGACAGCGGCAGTATCACGATTATTGGAGGCGCAACCTCTCTCACATTGGGTCTAACGTGGGGTGGTGCTCAATTCCGGTGGTCGTCTTATCAGACTATTCTTCCGTTGGCTGTGGGGTGTGTTGCCCTACTCGTATTCCCCTTGATTGAAAGGTTCTGGAGCACAGAGCCCATAGTGAGTCACTCAACGGCATACATACATACTATTGTCTGACTTTCTCTGAGATTCCATGGGTCGCGGTCTCCAATCGCACCTCGCTTGCGGGATATCTTGGGACACTCGTGCATAGCATTGTAGCGTTTTGCGCCATATGTGAGTACGCTGAGGACCCCAGGTTACCACTATCTCACTGCCTTTGAAGATTATCTTCCTGTTTACTTCCAGGCCGTGTTGGGTGCATCACCTTCTCGCTCGGGAGTTGACCTCCTTGGTCTTGTTATGTTCATAACCCCATCCGCGATGGCCTGTGGGGCAACGGTTCAATCATTCCGTCGGTATCGGCCCCAGAACCTCGTCGGCTGGTCACTCATCATCGTCGGCTTTGGCATCCTGACAATACTGGATCGCAATAGCGGCGTCGCGCGTTACATCGGCTGTCAAGTGGTGTTGGGTATCGGGCTAGGCATCGTTTGGGTCGGAGTATCATTTCCAATTCTGGCACCACTGCCGAACTCCAATAACGCCCACGCCTTGGCCTTCTCCACCTTTGCGCGCGATCTATCACAGGTACGCCAAATCTCACATACTGGGCGTATCGCTCTACTAATTGACCGACAGACATGGGGCATCGCTATAGGCGGGGCCATTCTACAGAATGAACTGACCCATCGTCTTCCTGATCGGTACAAAACAGAGTTTCCACAAGGCATATCTTCAGCCTACGCTGCTATTCCGCTGGTTTCAGCACTCCCAGAACCCTTGCGCGGAGAGGTTCGTGCCGCCTTCGTAGATAGTTTGCGGGTCATGTGGCAAGTCATGATTGGCATCGCCGGTCTTGGGATGTTGACGCTCCTGCTGATGAAGGAGGTGGAGATGCGAACAAATATTGATCAGCAATGGGCGTTACAGCAGGAAGACAAGCAAACGCTACGAGACCCACCGGTATCTTTCTCCGGTTGCTAAGCCTGCGCGGTTACGAGGCTCAACAGAAGCCCTAGCGTGTCAAGTGCCTGTAGATGATGGACATGGACACGGCCCACTCATAGAACTTATCAGATTGTATCATTGATCTATATTGTCCACAATCTCGCATGCATATCCATTGGTCAGACACTGGGGCTGCGTGTGTAAGACTCAAGATCACGAGGTCTTCTGTCCCGATCCAGAAGATGTTCGACTCTCCGGAGTTACAATAGATACGAGACCAGCCGCACTGAACTGTCTCGCCCCGAAATCAGATCCGGATTGGACAACTCCGCTGTATATCGCATACGCGGTACGTCTGATTGGGGAATATACAGCACTCTGGTGAACGTAGGGGGCCAGGCACACTTGTAGTAGTGTACCGCCTGGCCACTGTGCGAAGTTTCGTCCAAGCGTGATTGTTCAGCACATTGGCTTAGCCGTCCGGGGGAAGTTATCATTGATGCGACCCACGATACTGGAGAGCAAGTATCTTGTTACTCTCGTCGGGGTGACTGATTGGGGAGAGCGCAAGCTACGGCCGTAATGGAGCCTACAGCAGAGAGCCGAAGCCGCGTACTCGATCACCTGCTCAAGTCGTGAGAATGACGGGCGGCGACTGCCGGCATGCCAGGATGGCGAACCAAACCGTCGATCGAACTTCGATGTTCGCACATCCGCTCGAGCCCAATCAAGCGTATTAGGCCCTTTAGAGACGAATAAGGGACGACACTGGATACTTGTTTGAACGAACATGCACTGCCATCCACCTATCATCTCGACCTCGCCCGTTCCAAACGTCGGTGATTGCATCACTGCCCCTCAGCGGCGTCAGGTCGTCCAGTGTTGAATAACTGCTGCGAAAATGCCGCGCATATGACTTTCGTTGTGATATTGTATACATAAGCGGCATCCTTGATGTACACACGTTAGGCGTTCGCGGGCCCTCTGCGAAGGCTTAGCCGGATATCAACCGCCCGGCGTCAAGCTAGCCAGAACCGCGCGCGATTCGCCTGGTTGCGTCGTCTCTGGTCTCACAGATTGACTGCACATCTATATAGCTATGCGGAAGATAGCAGGCACCCGCATCGCGGAAAGATCTGTGGCGGTGAGCGTGTGTTCATCAATACGTATCTTAAAGTTTCCCTTGCTAAAGCTTCCTTTCTATAATGCTCCTGCATCTCCAGAACCCCTTCATGTGGCGTGCGGGCGGTTCAAGCCAACTCGTTCGCGGGAATGGGCCGGACATCGTGGTGTTCGTATCTCCGTGGCGGAATGCTTCCTGTTTGCAATGGCCAATATAAGACCTGCTATAGTTGCACTACACGTGCGAAGTCCCTCTTGCATCGCACAAGATGGCGGTAACGGGGCCGCTCACATTGCTTCATGAACTAAGTACGCCATCGTTGGGATCCTCGCAAGGTAACGAACTGACCTGGTCATTGAAAGCCGCGTTGCAGAACATGACTGCTCTCTTCGGCGGCATATACTTGTAAGGATGACGCATGCCCGTTATGAGGTCTGTAGATCCAACTCCGTCCCAGCCACGAACTCGTCGCGCATCTGTCCTTTGATTGGAGACTCATAAGACGTCATGATGGCCGAGGGACTACTACAGCACACATCGCCAAGTGGGTGGGTCGTACTTCATACCGATACCGGCATGGTTGTCATAGTTGACCATCTGCCAGACGTACTTGCTGTGCCGGGCACTCCTCGTTATCTTCGCTGTCTGTGCAGTCACGGGATCGTTCCCTGGCCACCCTGACTGTCGCGTAGGGCCCCATACCAATCGGAAGAGATGATCCTCGGCTGATAGTCTCTCTTAGGCTGTCTATAAGCTCCTGAGTGTAAGCCACTTTAGATCGTACTCGTCTGAGCGTCGAACTTCAAGCCCCGAGTTAAGGCGTAAGTACTGACGACTTCGTTCACCATACAGGCTAGTGGCTTCATCGGGATCATATGCTCGTCATCTCTACTCGGGATACGAGTGTACGTCTAGTGCACACGGGAGTACCTGTTCTCTTCCACTGATGAGATCTTGTCCCTTAGTGGTGCCATATGGAAGTGGGATAAGAGGGTCATGGCACTTGTGACTGCGAACTGTCTAGGAGCTTTGGGCTGCGCTATATTCTGTGAGTGAAACTCTATCGAACAGTTCTGGGCTAAAGAGTATACTTGTAGTGGTCATCAAGGTGTGTACAACGCAACTCCGACCATCTCATTCGGCGCATGGTCTCATCGAGGGCCATACTACGCCTAGGTCGACTCGACATACGAAGCCCAGCTAAACAATTGCGCATTGACCAGTGTGCACGATGATTTGTACCCATCCGTTGCCGTCTTGATAGGAGACTGCACACTTCTCGCCTTGCTTCTCGTGGGTCTTCGCAGGAACTGGGGTGGCGCCCGCGAGTTTCGCATGTGGCATATACTGTGGACTCAAGTGCGTGAACACGTGTGGGACCGCAAGGCATTGAACCAGTGCTGATGACCTTTGAGGGTTTATTATACCTTCTTCTCGCCACGATCGTCGAGGTTCCGTTGGTGGTATGAAGCTGTCTGAGTATAAGCCGCCAAAGACGCTACTGACCCAATCCAGGCCCTTCTGATCGTGAATCTGAACCGTGAGTCGTTTGCACGGATCCTGAGGGCCATAGCTCACTGACCTATCCAGCTGTCATGAACACGGTAAGCCTAGTTCGGGGATCCAGATCCAATCATGCGGCATTGACTCGTCTGCCACCAGATTCTCATCCCACCCGAAGGTACGTCTTTGCGCAGAGACTAATTGCAATAGCTGCAAGGTCGACTGACATGTCTTGAACCCATGCAGTTATCATCCTGTGAGCCCTGATCGGGCTCTAGAAGGCGGAAGGGAGGGACCTGACGCTAAGATTTAGGGGCATAGGTGCGACCCGGATGTATCGATCTCTGAATCGCACAGTTCGGGGCGATGGACACCATATCGAGTATGTCGCCTTGCGCTGTTGCCTTCTTGTTCTCGTAACTGAAATGCTCTAGGCACTTCACGAACGGTACATCAATGGAAGGAAATAGTGCCACCGTTGCGCTCCAGGAGATCCGCCTGAGGGCCTTGCGCAAAGAATAAGGTACTTTGGTCGGGACTTCGCTTGGCTACGGCTAATCAGGTTCTCATGTGAAGGCAATCTGCCGTCTGTCTGGTCGTTTCATTATGCAACCATCTACTTCAATGCTATCCGCTATTCTTCAGACGACCGTCACCCCGAATCACGGATCATACACCCGCATCATCCGATGTCACGTGAAATGTATTATTCGTGTCAGTATGGAAGAACGAGGGCTTCGGCTCTTCTTGTCGACTACAGAGCCACATTGCCTCTCCTCAATGGCGCTCCGGATTGACTGACGCGCCCCGCGCGCGCCGGTCAACAATGTTCGCCAACTCGTATGAATTGGGTTCAGCGGAATGCGCCGAGATCTTGTATCTGCAAGTCGCGCGACACGTTAGCGCCTTTGCCAACCGTCGGAGGTGCGTGCGAACTCACGGTAACACCGGACGGTTACTATAGCCGCTCAAAGTGCGATGAAAGCGCGTAGCGCCGGTCGCCCTGTCGTTCTTTCACTTCAGTAGCGTCTCCCGTGGCCATCCAGTGATAACGCACATCATCACGACTGTCATCCCAGGTCAACTTCGTGACGTTGACATACAGTGGTTGCGCTCACCTGCCGGAACAACAAACATCTGTGCAAGGGTACTCTCAGCGCTCTCGTAACTGTTGGGATACACAGTAGCTACTCACTGCATTCATGATTTCTATTGCCTACCTAGTATCACGGTGATGCATGGACACTGGGACAAGGCTTACCGTTGAGATCCAACATGAGGAAGATCTACTTCACCATCAGACTCGGCCTGACGAGGATATCGTACAAGAAATGAACTTGCCACCAGTGGAGCCTCAACCATGACCGCAAGCGCAAAGTAGAGCAGGCCCTTGAAACGAGCTAAATTAAGAGTGCCGTAGAGTGGGATGCATGCGAAGAACATACCTGGTTCCACAGCGTGAACCACAGAGGAAACCCCCGGGCTCCTTGCCAACCTCTCTGTAAGCCTATGAATATGAACGCAAGAAGAGTGATATCGCCTGAAAACAACGCGACACATAAACTTCTATCGATAATCGCGCTAGTCAGCGTGCATTGGCCGATTTTCGGGTCAAATGACGAAGTGAACTGTCCATGGATGATCGTCTCAGCATCCGTGCAGTGCACTCCACTCTACGAGGCTTACCAGGACAGTGACTAATGAGGCGTTGACATATGATGAGCGAAACATAGAGTCTCCGCGCCTAAAGAGCTCACTTTGGATAGTGCAACCGCAAACCGCCGCCAGGAAAGGCGACAGGAAAGCGATGACCCATCGATTCCACTTCCATATGATACATCTTTCGGAAGTTGGTGAGCTTGCGCCTTATATGGTAGTTGCGATCCTCGTGGACTTACGCGCGTACAAAAAGTAAGCCTGAAGCGCAAGCTATCCCGAACCCCGCAGAGGTCTGAGTCCAGCGTTGAGTACACTCCCGAGATAATCTCAGCCGTCCCACTCGCAAGCGTACATTGTGAGTTTTGAGAAGAGCCTATCACGGTGTACGTCAATCTCGGTTCTTGGATGGCTTGACCACATGACGGAAAGGTTATAACCTGACAAGAAAACTCTCTGTAGCCGCTTGCGAGCAAGCAGGAGCAGACGCAGGTCATGAAAATCAGGTAACGGCAAAGCAGGTACAACTGGCGACACTCAGCAATTGATCGACATCTCGCTCGTGAGGACTGTCACACACCGCATTGCCGATCAAAGTTGTCGGCTTTCCGCGAAGTTTCTTGACGACCTCCCAGTCGTGTGGTAAAGATGATGCGAATTCGTAGCTGGATACTAAACGTGAGGTCGCAGACTCCCAGGTGACACAGTATACATGACGTACAAATATATGCCAGCAAAGGACAGCGTGACCTTTTGGAGCGATGCTGGAAAGAGGTTTAACGATACTCTCTCTGGCAATTGCACACCCCTCGCACCTGTCTGGGAGTACAGTGTGCTGGAGCTCGTCCAATCGATCATGTGAGGATCCTGAAAGCTTAGAGTATGTGAGGGAGCTTGAGGGGAAGGAAGAATATGGAGCGGGAAAGCGTCAGGCTTCACAGCTCTACCTACTTATCGAATCTGAGGGGACGGGTGTCAATGATAACGAACAAACATCTCGAAGTTATGACCCTACAAGATCCAATCCGACGCCACATGGTATTGAGATCAGGTGAACCTGGGAAGCCTTGCTTCTAAAGTTGTCTTCGTGCGGGCGCTGCTCTCTGTAAGAAGGGTCAGTGTAACCGTGTATAACCGTCGATCAAATTCATCGCACCGCCTCCGCTGTGCACTATCGCCCAAGCGGTTGCGTGTAGGCCCATTCTGAGCCAGATGCGGACCAGAGATGCCGATAGTACCTATACCGGTCGACGGAGGGCAGATAATCTACTGCCGCTCATCTTGGGAACGCATAAATTAAGATGGGGTAGAATATTTGATGGTTGGTGAACATGGTGCGGGAGAAGGAGGATGGCATGCACGAGTCACGAGTGAATGTGCCATGGCTTCGGTGCTACTTGTTATGGTCATCTCGATTCGGAGCCTGAGTACTTGAGTTGTCCATACAAATTGCGAGGCCGACTCCGGGACATCATGTGTGTTCGGGAAGAGTGTGCCTGCCGCATGTCGCGCGGAACGCTGGCCGTCACGCTTGTTGCGCGTTGACCGCCGCCACCATGTTTCACCCTCTTCTGCGCCACCCTCATTCCACATTTCACTCGCGCGCTCTTCCGTCGTGGTGACACGGTAGGTCGCTTTGCCTGCGAACGCTCTGCGAATATTGATCCTGAAGTGCAGGCAGATCGAAATGTCGAATGTCTTGGGGGGGTTTCGAGCAGGCGAACCGATATATCATACGTGTGTCATATCTCTCGTGCTTTGGGTGTATGCAGCTCGCTAATACAACATGTGCAGCTAGTCTTGACGGCACTCTACCGGGCTACATCGCGGAGGCCGACGCAGGCATGTCTAGCGCGCCCACTCGCCAACTCATGCGGACACATAGGCCGTTCCATGCTGTCATCGTGGATACCGACGGCATACCTGTCCTTTGGTTACGTCGACCATTCAGTTGGATCAACTCGCGCATGCGCGTGCAACGTCAGAGTTCATCAAACGTCGAGGACAGCGATGGATCCGACTTGGATACGCTCGGGGAGGTACAGCAGCGCTGGGATGTATTCCGGAGAAAGTAGGAGGTGTTTCTCAAGGAGCCTGTGCGCCGCGTATTGGCGCTAGCCGACTCCGAGGAGAAGGCCGATCCATCTCTCGACGAGGAGAGCTACCCCCCAGCTGGCGCAGATTGACGAGCCTCCTTTATCATGGGATTTCAACCTGCGCGACGCCGACGGCCTCCCGATTGCGAGCATGAGCAAGAAGCTACGCGGGATTGCACGGGAGATCTTCACTGATACGAGTGCGTTCCTTCCCTTCCCCGCGGTCGCGATACACTTACTGATGTGCCCGCAGGTCAATACTACATCAACTTCAAGCCACGTGAGTTCGAAATGGGCGATGATGGTTCGCTCATTGTACGCGAGCTCGCAGGCGCGCGTCAATTATCTCCCAAAGAACGCGCGGTATGTCCTTTCGCTTGGCACCCTTCGATTCATGACTGACAGGTCCGTAGATTGTGCTTGCTACAGCGGTCAACGTTGATGTCGATTACTTTTCTCGCCACTCTAAGTAAGTCACACTCTTCGCTGTTGAGCGGCTACTCGGCATCTGATGCACAATCTAGTAGAGGTGGTGGAAGTTGGCTGGGCGCCCTGCTCCTCTTCGATATCTTGGGTTGATTGCAGAGTAGCTTTTACAGATAAATATATTTCCGCCTGATCATCCTGTCTGGTGAACTATCGCCAGAACTCCGTTACTCGCAACTTCGGATAAGTTAGCCGACACGACTGGATTCATGTTTTGTGCATGTCTTGAAGTTCGATCTGCCTGGCGACGAAGTGGGCGTCGTGTGTGGTCCCGTTCGTGAAATGACTGTAGATCATCAGTCCCGTGGACTCAACAGCATGCAGTGGAGATGCACGAACTCGGAAGCAGTACTGTCCCCTTGTGCCAATGCATGAAGAGATCTGTACATTCGTGAAGCTGCGATAGTTCTGCACATGCTCAACTCGTGTCAATGCAGCACTGTGTGCCATTTTGTATGCTCACAAGATGATCGCTGCGAGCCATCCCCGAAGTTCGTCAGTACAAGATGCAGTTATGGACATGACTCTTCTGGTACCAACCTGCTGGGGTCACCATCATCTGCACAGCAGTTTGCACATTCAGTATTGAGGAACCATACAGTACTACTTTGGGAGCTCACTGTATTCATGATGGCTATTCAGATGAACTTGTGAGTAGATGATTCATCGGAGTATACCAGTTGACTTACAGTCAATGTCCATGGCCAATAGGATCTGTAGAAGCCCATAAGCATGCGTCACAGATCAAAGGTCGGTGAGATATGTACTACTGTTGGCAATTCGAGGACCATGGCAAGAAGAAGGTATAAGAGGCCCTGTTTAATGGTGAGATGCCTACTTGCAACTGCATTTAGCTTCATCGGGTGCATACCTGTGTCCACAGGAGATTCCATGTATAATACTGACGAGCATTTTTCCATCTCTTTTGGAGGCCGAGAAGGAGCAAAGTAAGTATCGTGCAGTCACTAATAATCAAGGTTGCAGCTGGAATCAAACCCCTGTGCACTCCTGTGAAAGCACAGCTGAGTATCGGTGCCTCGTACGATGAGTCGATCTGAGGAGAGTCAGCATGTTGACATTACATCCTACTCTGTCCGTGCGAACCTCAGACATTGCTAGTGAGGTATCGAAGTTTAGCAAAGGCCAGTGCATTATACTGTCTCTCTGGCTCACAATATATCGTGGATGCAAATGTCGCCAGCCAGACGAGAGTCAATCCAATGGTGACACGCTTGTCCCATTGCCATACGGCACCACTTTCGATGACACGCATGCATGGTTAGTGTAGTACCGAAACATGTCTGTATAGGGTCACGCACACGCGTATACTCATCAGCAGTGAGGAGCACAGAACACTGAACCAGCCCGTCACCTGCAGCAAGGGAGTTAAACATGAATAAGGTACAAAAATGAGGTGCCCTCGTACAGTGAAGAGCTTTAACAGGGCCTAGCACAACCCATGAGACTGTGCAGCTGGCACTCTGAGGTTGGGAACTCTTACATGACAGCGCGGATGACCAGGAAATGTAATAACGACCACACAAACACTGTATATGAGCATGAGGATCCGACATGCTAGGTAGACCTAGTTGTGAGTATTAGCTAGATACCAACAAAAGGTTTGACTAGGTACCGATTTCGCTACCGATGCGAGAGTGGAACGCGTATGGATTCGCGTGACAAGCCTCCAATCGAAGGATAGGTTCGCAGAGAACTCGTGTCTGCGGATCAATGAATGAGAGCCTCGGGGGTCGGAAGTGTGACTAGCATACAGGTAAATGCCGCCGAATACGACAGTCAGATCTTGCAAAGATGCTAGTCATGGGAGTCAAGAGCAGCAGATCGTCGAAGACAGTGTATGCTCACTCAGCTGGTGAAGCAGGGACAGCGCAGCGGAGGCCGACATGGTCGGCGAGACTGAGAGGTAGCCCGGAGAGAATACCCACTGACGAAACAGGGTCCTGACCCTAGACGGCGGACTATATACGGGAAGGTGGAAGATATCAGCGCCGATCGCGGGTAGATCGTGGTCAAGGTTCGCCTACGTCTCACCGGAGAAGCATATAGAAGAGGGCCATGATGCATGATGATCGAAGGGTATGGCCGGCGTTGGACGTTGGACACCTATCAGATCAGATCTTAACGCGGGAGCTCGATGGACGCTCGCGAGAGACGCGTACGCCGCCGGCGAGGAATTCACAACCCTTGATACATATTCTTGCGGTGGCGTAACTGATGTCCATTGCGTGTGGCGACACTGCCTATCTGTCAGAATCGGTAATATCTGGTACAGAAAGAAGGCGCAGGTACTTGTTCATTCGTAACAAGTACTTGTACACTGGACGGCGTGCGTCGATGATACGAATGGGTAAGTGGATGATAATGACATGGAAAGTGATGCCCTCTGCGGCGCAACATATAGAGGTAGTCTTGGGCGTTCGAACCAATGAAGTCGCCACGCCTACGCCTTGCGCGCCAGCTACGCCGCACCAACATAGGTCGGACTTCTTCGGGAACTCATGTGGAACGATATTTTTTCATACAACACAGACATGGTTCTGAATGGTATGACTGGCACGGCCCCTAACTGAGAAGGTGTAGACACATAGCCAATGAGAAACACTGTGGTGGCCATGGCCATGTTAGCGGGAATCACAGAGAGATCAAGCAGGCAGGGCGCAATCAAGGGAATCGCCTTTCAGTACGTCTCGTAGTCGGGATTGGCAAACTCAAAGCGAGTGCCGAGTCCGCCGACGATACCTGTGTCAGATTATCATGTTCGAAGGATCTCCCTGTCTATAAGGTCCATTGGCATTGCTTCAGTGCATGGGCTATACAGTTGCGAGGCAGCGGCCGTGAAGGACGGAGGGAAGCGGTGAAGTTCGATTTCTCTCGACTCCCGAAGTTGATCGGCTTTCGGGCCGATTCGACAGGTTCATCTATACTCTTCAATGAGCCAATGACATGACTGCCACTGGCAGCAGCTACGCTTTGGGTGAACGGGTCGACGTAGACCATTGCCGGTGTGCCATTGAGGCTCGGGAGCCACCGTCTGCTCGACATGGTGTCGAGGAGATGGGAGAAACGCGCGTAGCGAGACCAAGTTCACGGAGTACAGACGCGGAGAGGGTCGCTTGATGGACGCCAGCAACGCCCGACTCATCGTCCCAGATGTTTCAGGCGAACTTGACGCGCCCGAACTTTCATGTACCGAAGGCCTTTTCCTCGTACTCGATCCCTCCGTCGCTCGCAGTGTAGGTGTAGGCAGTACGTCGGTCGCGGTAGCCGTGGTCGGCGAGCCGTTGGATGACGCTGTGCGGTTGAGGTTCAGGTACGAAAGTACGAGTTGATGCATTCGGGAGGTTGAGAGGTGTTGGGCGAGGATAGGGATTCGGCCTCGGATGTTAGGAGGGCGGGATTCGCGCAAATGTCGATCAAGAGCTGGGTCGTTTCGTCCGGCAGAGCTTCGAGCATCTTGCGGCCGTAGCGCGCGAGACTTGCGTTTGCGTATGCCCAATAACCAGAACCGCTTATGTAACGAGCGAAGGAGGGAAGGCGAAGGCGTACGGCGTTAGCGCCGAGCATGCGTAGGTAGCTCAGGGCGTCCTTGTAGTTCCCTGCATCCTCGATCTGTGTCCTCAAGTAGTCCTGGTGGCGCTCCCAGCGCTTGGCGAGGGAACCCGCTTGGTCGATGTATTCCGCCTTACGACAAACGCGGATCAAGTTTTCGAGATCGAACGGGCGACTCGTCCTTGTCGTCGCCTCGTCTGTTCTCGGTCTTGATGGAGCTGTCCAGGCGCGCGACATCCTTGAGCTTGTTGTAGGTGTTCAGGAGCAGAGTTGTGCGGTCGGCGTGCGCGAGACTTGGAGACTGGGCTTCTTGAAGGTAGGTTACCAGGTTATAGATCCGTTGCGCGTTGAGGAACTATCTCACGGTCAGTCAGACTGTTCGGTGTAGCGGCAACATCTAGACAAGTACCTTGCGAATAACATCACTGGGCTGCACTTGCCCGATTGTATGCAGGTACTGCTGCATCGCACCGTCATAATCGCCATGCCTGGCAAGGTAGTCACCGTATTGCCGGTAGACGTCGGCGACGCTCGCTCCGCCGAGGCTCTGTGTCTTTGCCATGCTGAGCGCTAGTGTATGCCGTTGACGTTGGTAGAGCATCCCGAGCTTCAGGTATGGGCTTCTTTTGCAAACAGAACAGCTGTCCACACGCAATCAGCCAAGCTGAGCATGACAGTGAAAATGAGGTGCAGACTCACAAGCCCGTCGTTCGTGAGAATATACAAGTTCCCCCACTGCGACAGTACTGACCGCACACTACTCGTGAACGTATCCGAAAACGCGACCATCCTGTTCTCCGGATCGTACACCGTGACCTTGCCCACGACGTCCTTGTCCGCCTCCTTCGCCCTCGTCGCGAACCAGATAGTAGGGCTCGCACTTGCTGCGCTAGATACGAGAGGAAGAGAGAGGATGACGAGGTAGTTGCGGTGGGAGTGTATCGAGAGTCTGGATCCTTCAACGGCGCTCACATAGATGGCCTCGTCTCCAGCGATAAAGAGGTTGCGCGCAGGCTAGTCCACGACCGTACATCCCAGCGCAGCGCCATGCCCGTGCACTTCCACCGGCGTTCCACCACTTCCTCGTCCGCTCGCCTGGTACGACAGCCAACGGTTGGTCGCGGCGATGAACAAGTACGGATCCGGACTTTCGGCCCTGGGCGCGCGGAACCCAAGACCGGTGACAGACTCTGGGTTCGTGTCGTGTACAACGCGCGGTTTAGAAAGTGCAGAGAGCGAAGTCGAGGAGCTGACGAAGGATTGGTTGAGGTGCCGGTACAGCAGCACTGTGTCATCCCCAAGTCCTACTGCGAGTGTGTTGGGACCTGAGACCTGAAGCGAGCGCGGCACATGAGACGGGATGACGCCGTGAGGTATGCTGTACTTTCGTCGAGCGTATGAGTATGGGGGACCCGTTCTTGTCCGCCTTTCCGAGTGACCAGATCTTAAGGAGCAGGTATTGCACGAAGTCTTCGTCCTGGGCGAGTTGTTGTTAGGAGGTGTATCACAAAGTAGTCAATAGAAAACCTACACCGAGTGTAACCAGTATTCCACGGTCTTCCTCCAGTCGCGTTACTCTCCCACACCTTGAGCGGCCCAGCTCAAGACAGGCTCAAACTCCTTGTCCGACAAGTGTACAGTTCCATGAATATGCGTGACGAACGCGCTGATCAACGAAGATGCAGCTGTAGAGATCCCGACTACTTTCCTACTAGACAGTCAGCCATGAGTATGTATGAACGTTGCAGAGATAGGGGTTGTACCTTGACGATGTGTGCGCTCTCGGAGAGGTCGTGCGCATCCTTGACGGGTGACTGGGTGTATGGACTACTGCAACCCATGCGCCATCAATCCGAGTAGCGTACCCTTGGCGCGGAAGCGGCAGGTGCCATAGTGGACTCAGTATAAGTTCCCACTGATCTTGTAGAAAAGCAGTGGGTATCGTCACGGAATGCTACAGTCCTCAGACCGCCTAAGGAGCGAGATGGTGGTCGGACGAAAGCACCTCACCGACGCGTTCGCGGGGCCGGCACGGGACCGCCGGTTAATTGACGCGATCATGCGACCCGTTGCAAGGTGCGGGTTGCTTGCTTTGGGCTCGGGCGACGTACAGTGGCTTGCCAGAGCGCCGCCTTCCTCGCGGGTGCCCGAGTGTGTCCCGTCGCCATCCCCCGTGAGGTGGGAGACAGTACAGACTCAGTCGCGGTCACATGAGAACCGTGCGAGACGCGTCACCGAGCACTACGCGAGAAGTGCGCGAGAGGCTAGTACGAAGCCGTACGGGTCGCGAGCGGCTACGTGCAAACGTAACTTCTTATAAGAACACGGGGTCAGAGCCTGCAATCCGTAGAGTTCACGGAGCGCGCATTACTGTGTGCCAACAGCGAGAGAGCGAGGAGGGACGCCTCGTCGCGCCGAGCACTACGGGGTTGCTTCTGACCGCCATCGAACATGGTTTGTGGAAGGCGCTTCGCATGCGACTCCATCACTCGTCTACAGTACGCCGGCGGACATTCTTGCATCTTTTTGAATCCTGGGAGCAGTACTGGGAGTATTCCACTGACTCGGAGCCGGCGCTCGATAGACTGACACCGAACTTCCCGTCTCGCCTTGAAGTGCATCCTTGGACCACTTTGAGAGCGTACTTATTGCATGTGCAATTTGCTTTCAACGACGCGAGTCAGAATGTGGCGACGCATAGGTCGTCCCTGCCAGCTTGGCTCATCAGGTACCACACCGCCCCGATACAAGGTCAAGCGGCGGTTTGAACACATATATAGTGGCCACAATTTGTGTCAAATGCTTGTCATATTGCACAATGGCGTCATATCCCATGTCCAGCTACGGTGTAATCTGTCGCGGGGGAAGGAGAAGAGATGACATGTAGTTCAATCTCCGGTTTGGTTCTATCTGCATAGCCTACTCGTTCGTTGTGGCCGAGCTTTAGGAACTCCAGCCGTAGTATGAGCCGTGTCATGATCATGTTGACGATTGTGAAGTCAATCCTTATCCATGCGCAGATCATTAGCCCACTTGGTTGACGTGAAGGGGATCAAACTCACAGATACCCGAGAACAAAATACGAGATCTGCGGTGCAAATGAGACAGGGGACGAAGTAAAGCAGATACAAGGCGACGGACATTACCGGTCGAGCACAGAGCGAGATTCATCAGTCGTAATGCTGCACGCGAAATCAGATATGTCGCAACTGAGAAGACTCGGTAAGAACATGTACCGAATAAACACTGAAACGGTGTCGGCGGTAAGCGAGCTGATGAGACAAGAGCTATACAAATATACCATGAAATATTGCAGGCAGTCTCTTCTGAAGTGCGCGATGAGCTCGGCTGTCACTTCTTGAGGTCGATGGTGTCGGTTCAGCAGAGTATATAGAATGATAAACGTGTCGAAGAGCATCTATCGTAGTCCATTCAGCAAGGATAAGGGCTGATAGCGGGGGCTTACTTCATACTTGGCTGATCCACACCCACTTTTGCTGCCTTGGTAGTGCTTGTATCACGCAGGAACGTACGATGATATCCACGTAGAAGACACGCCCTCCGCATTGAGATCAATACGGTAGCGAAGTTGATATATCAGACAGCTGACACACCTGCCATCCAAGCCGTTGCGTAGACCGAGAAAACCCCGGTTGCGGAGTAGGAGACCAGAAATACTACTCGCAGTAGAGTCTTTGTCTGAGGTCGGCGGTCCCATAGGGAGTATGCTTGATGAATCAAGCGTGCTAGAGAGTGAATGGTTATGTAACTTTAGGCCCACGAGAGAAGCCCGAGACATACCATTGCCTAGGATGAGTGTCAGGTTCCCTGCTATTGCAAGCATTATGACCCAAATCTGGCAACTACGCCAGTGTCAAACGCTCTCAAGAGCAACTCATGAGATCTCGGAAGCTGCGTACAACTAGGAAGGCAAGCATCAGCATGAGCGTCTTCCCGAGTGCATGCACTGAGCTCACCTTGCTATCATCGCGAGAGGACATATTGCATACGACTGCCCAGATATCGTCAGCAGGCTGCTGCAATACTCCATAGCGTTCACGAGAAAGTCACCTATCAGTGTCAACACCGCCAAAGAAGTGACGGTGTATCGTAGAAAAACGTAGAGAGCTCGCGTAACCCATGTTGTCTTGCGATGATGCGACCATATGAGTCGCAATTCATTGTCGAAGTTGAGTATATGCTCCCAGATAGCTACGACGATACAGAAGACTAGAGCGCATCAGAGCGAGCCCCGCCGCCTCACTTAGAGAAAGGCTCACTTGCAATATAGCGGTCCCCTGTTAGACCCGGAAGTGATGATAGCAGCTGCTCGACCGTCGCGGCAGTCTGCGACGCGCTGCTTCCCCCTGGCTGAAGAGGCTGCGGTAGAGTGGAGCCGGACGGCATGTCAATCGGCCCCGTCCGTCCATGATTCTAACCTTCTTAAACCCATGTCGTACTCGACTTTTCCCTTCAGATGTGACGGCCCAAAGCCCGCCGACCCCGCCTCACGGGAGAAGCTTTTGAGATCATCACTGATGCTGTGTTCAGAACAACGAATAGCCAATAAAAGGAATGACTCACAGGATAGGATGCCTGAAAAGGAAATGCAGCTTTCGTGCTGGACGGTGAGCAGAAGACAGGATGGCTGTGGGATGTCGCACACGCGTGTAGTGACCGAAAACTCCGGGCGGATAGGGCTAGAAGATCTGAGAAGACAGGGGCCCAGGCCGGCGCGAATGCCACCATATGTTGTAGGATTCCATCGAATTGTATCGTATGAGCAAGCTGGAGGTATTCTCAGATAGAAGATCTCCAATACTGATCGGTATCGGGTAAGCACCTGAACGCCTGCCACGGGTTACACGGGCTTTCAGAAAGTACACCGATAGCCACTCGGGAGTAGACTGTGCCGTGGCACATATCATTTAGATGAGCGCCATCGTGCCAGACAATGCTGACGTGTACGAGTCTCTGGCGACAGGCTGGGAAATTCCGAATGGGTTCCTGGCGCGCAGAGTAATGATGCAGTGTGTTCAGGGCGCGCGTTGGGTAGGCTCGGGTAGGCTCGGGTTTTACGCGTATTAGTGCCGTGACGCTGAGGAGCTGCATCGAGGAGCCGGTCCAGTATAGTACCACTGAGCTCGCCGTCAGCTGAGCGGAGAGTCATGCTCTCGAAACTGCAATACTAGCGCTTGAGCTGGCAGCGATGATATTCAGTATACGGGCCGGCAGCTCGCAAAGACGCAGCTATAGCTCATGAATTCTATCTGCAGAAGGAATGGACTGGGAAGCCGTCACAAAACGCTTCATGTGCATGACGGTTCATCGCAAGTTCGACGCGTCACCGCGGCCGTCGGCAGAAGTGCGAGGTTACATAATTTCCGCGGTCCGATTCGCCCGTGACGGTCGCGGCGCGACCTACGAGTTACCCGGAACCACGACTGCAACGCGACCTAACTCAGCCACTTTGAGCCAAATGTACACGTCGATGTTACCCAATCACACAGAGCCGCCCGCCTTCGTTCAACCTGCCTGTACACAAGTAAGCCCAGTCGCGCCCACAGCCTGACGACGGTAATAGATACGTGCAACGTATCTACAGGGGCCGCCGACATGTCTGTCTGGATGTGCGAGCCATCACGTATGACAAGAGCGCATATGTACGACCGGGCACGCCCATAGGCCTCGTTCCCAAGATCTGTGGGACTTTCAATATGTGCAGTACAGCTTTGTCAAACTGATCTTCGCAACATACGTTTCCGATTGGGCGCATGGGGCGCATGTATATTTGCTTGCGAAAGTCATACTGGTTCGTAATGGGACAGGAATTGGATGAAACTACCCTGACGTCTCTGTAGGCATGTCGACACCGAACCCGCTGTGACGTGGCACTCTCTGACTGCGGGCTGGGCTTCATCAATCCTTCCAGTCATACACGATCGCCGTCGAAGTAGTAGCGCTATTACACTACCCGATCCGTCGTCAACCCGGCGCCTAACCCAGTGTTGGACCGTGATCGATATCTGACGCGCAGAGATTAGGAGTAGTAGGCAACTCTGCCATGTTGATACCGCTTTAGGCCTCAAGTCAGAAGGTCGCCTTCACCAGCCCGAGACTGAGGGCGCCGTGAAGATTGTTCGGGATGCCACGAATCCCCTGTAGGCCTTTCCGGAGCGCCCTGATGCCCCGATCGGTGCACAGCCTCCTTATCTTCTCACCCATCCTTATGGAGCCAGGCCCTTACATGTAGAGCTGTCCGAAAGAAGTCCGGTGCATCTGGAGGACCCATTCATCTTCGTCTTGTCATGTCCTCCGTCGCGAGCCTCGTCGGTGCACTTCAGGATCTGGGCCCGACTGCTGCCACCGATCCCGCGACAGCAGCAGCAGTAGCGTCTCTTATTCAGCAACTCATCGACGCTCTTCCAGCACTGACAGGCGATCGTTATGTCTCTAGTAAGCTAGCCATCATACTCCGCCATCTACACCCGTACTCAAAGCAGTCCAGTCTTCTGTTTCACCCTTAGTATTTGGGAGCTTATCCTCAACTTCGACAACGAGGTCCGACTGATCTGGCGCAGTCAGCAGAAGCAAGTACTCGTGACCCAGATGCTATACGGCTTCTTGCGCTACAGTATGATCCTACTTTCGACTCTCAACCTCATTGGTGTGTCCTCCACTTATCTTGACGTGCGAAGGACGTTTCCAACAGGCATGTTTAGTTGTTTGTAACATCACGCCCCAACGCGGTGATATCGTGAGTCTAGTATTGCATACAAGTTTATGTAGGTACTGAAATGCTCAATCAGATGTTCGTGCGGGCGTTGGCAGTTTCTGCGGGCGTTGTAATTGAGGTTCAAATAGGTGCCAGTCTTGGATCATCATCTTGGCTGCGATCGGTAACCTCACTCTCATCTTTGGGAATGGTGCGTTGCGATTCTACTGCACCTCTCAGATGTACTTACTCTCGCGCAGCTCGATTGGCGCATCAAGCTTACTCGCTCTGGGATGCCCGGCACAAGACGAAGATTGTCATTCAAACGACACTTCTTATCTCTTACTCTGCTACTATAGGGTGCACAATCTACTCTGTCATATCGCTGGCCAGTGCGTAACGGATACCATGTATTCGTGCTGCGGTGTCTGAAATCACTCGGCAGGAAATGTCATCTTCGTGGGGCCCATCGTTCATTCGTGTGTTGTGCAAACATTACCCCAAGAGGAGATATGGGTATGGGTTACTCAGGTGAGCATCTCTACCGCTGTAGAAGCTTCCCCGTTGAAAAAGCTTGCGCAGATGGTTTTTGACGTCTTCATCTTTTGTTACACCCTGTTCAATACGCGTGAGCGACAGCAAGTGACGGCCGATATTATCTCGCGATTTCGTAAAGACTGTCTGTTCTTCTTCGCAGTGAGTCTGAAAGCTTGACTTATTGGAGCCAAGCTGATGCTCGCACAGATTCTTTTTGGTTCGTATTCAACGTCGAGCGTGACTATGCTTGTGCTGATAGTGTCCAGCACTTCGCCTCATGAATCTGGTCCTTGCTACTACTCGTAATGTGAGCCATGGCTGGTACCTTTGACGAACTACTACTGACGGTTGTCCAGGTATCATATTTCACACTGGGATACCTGTGAGTAATTCAATGGCAGTCCCTCCAACACTGATACCAATCGAAGTTAGTGTTGATTTTGTATTCGTCAACATTATCATGACGCGCCTTATCCTTCGCCTTGAGTACCTGAAGTTATCTCACAATGACCGCCTGGGTTATGAGCAGAGGACCCGCCCGGAGATTGAGCTTCATGTCGTTTCTGCGCATCGAGACAAGGCAAGGGGTTGAGCGTGCCTATTTGTGGTGTCCTTGATGGGGTGTACGAGTTTACGGGGCCAGTGCCATCATTATGTAGCCTTAAGCGTATGCCTATCAAATTTTTATAGTGACTGCGGATGCCATGCTTCCCAGTCTGCATTCGCAGTCTGCACTGGTATCATCTCATGACTTTGTGGAAGGTGCACTGGGACGGTGAGCAGCCCATGCAATGGAGGGGATTGCCAGATTTAAGTCAGATAAGGCCTTAAAGGCAGTATATTCACACGCTCTAACCTGCCCATGGTGAATCCCCGCCGCCCCGGTGACTAATTCTTATTCCATCCGCTCACCAGTGCACCTAGGGTTCACCGACGCGACGTGACCTCTCCGGCTCAAACATGGGGATAGCGATAAGATTCAGATGTAGAGAGGGCGTGCACTCGGCCATCCAGTGACAGCGCGTCGTTCATCCCAGTCAACGTTCCCGCATCCTGATGCGGGAGAAGCCATCCACCTGATGCTGTCCCGCCGTTGTTCCGACCTGTAACTTCTCGGCACCCCTCCAGGCGGACCTCTCTGAGTCTTTGGACGGCGGATGAATGCATCAACGTGCTTCTTCACGCGGCGCAAGCATCTGCTGCTTCTCGGGTTTCACGGGCGTCAGACCTGCATCCCTTACCACAAGGTTCCCGCCGATGTAATCGGCGAACGTTCCACCAGTTCTAACATCGAATCATGCTACAGGATCTAGTGAAGATCCCCCATTGTGGGAATGTTCATCTGTAGATGGGCATGCGTTCAGCCTTCCCATCGGCAACGACCGCCAGCCATCTTGCCGTTCGAGGCGCTGTCGTGTTGCCGTCCGAAGAACATGCCGCAGGTGTATGTATAGGGTTATCAGCCTGCGAACACGCTCTCAGGACCCTTGCGGGCACTTCGACTTAACGTTCTTCCCCCTGCCGCTTTCTTTCCGCATCAGCCTGTATCGACCGCCATGTCCAGCAGCGACCTCCGCACAATGGAGAAACCTGGGGACATGCAGCTAGCCAGTCTGGATTCTGAGGTTTCAAGCTCTCGGCCCACCGAAGGGGTGGCTTCCGATGCCGACGGCGGAACCACAGCGTGGTGTACGTTGTTCGGGGGGTGTGTCTCGTCCGTCTATATTCGAGGAGATTTCAGCTCATGTCGTTCGCAGGTGGCTCATGCTCATAGGCACATTCGGGTACATCAGTGCCTTCGGAGTTTATCAGGACCTCTACACGACAGTCTACGGCATGTCCTCCTCGCGCGCGAGCTGGATTGGATCGACTCAATTGTTTTTTATGCTTGCGGGGGCGCTACCCGCGGGCAAACTCCTCGACCTGGGTTATTTCCGGCATACCACCTTGTTCGGATCTATCCTTTTCGTCTTCTCGTACGCCATTCGATGTCATCAAACCGAAGCGATTCTAAAATATTCACAGATTATTCATGCTCTCGCTCGCACACCCGGATAAGTACTACCAGGTTTTCCTCTCTCAAGGGTTGGGTGTGGGTCTTGGTGCGGGTCTTTTGTACGTGCCCGCATTAGCTGTTCAGGCGCATCACTGGCGGCGACGTCGAGCCCTAGCCATGGGGATCACCATCACCGGTAACTGGAAATCAAGACTGTCATCATACTGTCATTCTGACGTGTGCTTTGCGTAGGATCGTGTATCGGTGGCATATTCTTCCCCATCATGCTCAATCAACTCCTCTTTCACCACGGGGTCAGTTTCGGGTGGACTGTTCGCGATTCGGCCTTTGTCGTTCTTGGTCTGCTCGCTGTCGCCAATCTGTTGATGCGCGATCGCAAGGGGGTGTCGCGAAGCGCTCTTCCTAAGCCAGATCCGAAGTCGTTGTTGACCGACGCCCCCTACATGATCTCCATCGTCGGGTATGTCAGCATGTCATGATACCCGCGTACTGCTGCTAACAGTAGAACAGTGTCTTCTTCGTTGATTGGGGCTTGTTCTTCCCATGTACGTACATTATACCCGAACGCTAGTCCTTGGATCGAGTTCTCATGCTTTGCTAGACTTCTACCTGCAAGTCTTTTCTCTTGTTCGCGGCGTCAACGCGGATGTCTCTTTCTATATGGTTAGCCAAGCTACTTACCTTCCCGGAGGTCCGGTCTGATATCATTCGTCAGCTGGCGCTCCTGAACGGAGTGTCGATTCCTGGTCGCATCATACCCAATGCCCTCGCGCCCCAGTTGGGTGTATTCAACCTCTTGATTTCGTCGATTGCCGTCTGTGGTATCCTCATCTTTGCCATGTTTGGTATCAACTCGACAGCGGGCGTCGTCATATTTGCGATCCTATATGGCTTCTTTTCCGGCGCTAGTCCGTTACCATTGCCTTCTGACATGTCCAACGCTGATTGCCTGTCACAGTGCTCTCCCTGTTGACACCCGCCGTTGCTACGCTCTCGAAACATGAGGGCGAGATCGGGTCAGTCACCTTTCAGAACGTTCGCAGAGTCATTCCCCTAACGCACTACCAGTACTCGTCTCGGACTCGCGTTCTTCCTCACATCGGTAGGTGTTCTGACAGGGAACCCTATCGACGGGGCTCTTCTAGGGAACACGCTTCCATACACCTGGGGCCGCGCTCTCGTGTTCAGCGGGGTGCGTGATCATCCTGGAGCAAACATATAGCTTCAACTACTAATTCGGATCCGCAACAGGTTTGCATGCTTGGCGGCGCGGCCATTGTTTTCGTGGCTCGTGTCATCCTGGCATCGCGCAAGGGTACTCAGCGTGTCTGATATGCTTCCCGGACCTATCTCTCGCACGGACAAACCTCCTTCACTACTGACCAACGTTCCTTACTCGTTTCGTGAGCTGTGTGTACTAGTCCTCATTATTCACCCATGACCCTTCGCATATATGAATTTTCACTGCTAGCCCTTTGCATGAAGCCTGGGATTAGACATCGATACAGTTCTTGCCTGCACGAGCCATGCCACTTACGGCCCATCTATATTGTCTGAGGAGTGGGAACGGCCTCGCGAGGATGACACGGAAGCAGCCGCGCTAAGCGGTGATGGTGATTCTGGACGAGGTGCGCTCGCGTGTGCCGCAGCGCTTGCGATGCGCGCGGACCAGACGTATCATTCTTGAGTATACCGTACTGTCACACGTCCCTGAGCTAGAGCGACTGATGGAATTGAGACGAACCATCGAACTTGCGTTCTTCCGAGCAGTTCGGCTACAAACAATCGGCGCCGACGCAATTCAATTCATGCGAATTCTGAAGACGTTTAATAAATATACCTTGATAAGACATTGGTTAAATAATATTACATGTTGTCGAGGCATCCCAGCAGGCTCCATCGATTGCCATGTTACGTATCTTGGACACGCATATGTGATGACTGTAACTGCAGCACCTCAAACTGGTTGCCATCGGTCATCGCGGATCACGAGCTCAGTTGCCACATGGACTTGAACCTGTACGGGCAAGCCTTCATCCTGTTGCTCGTCGCCACCCAGTCTAGGCGCCTGTGGGGAACCGTCCACTTCTGCACTCGTGTGATCCATGGACTTGTTGACGCTCGGCAGAGCATCGTCGGTATCAGTAGCCTCCCAACGCTTCCCATCCTCAGCGCGTTCCTCATCCGAGACATCATGAGCTGTCGTAGGCGGTCGTAGGTTGAATACGGTCGAGGATGGGGGTGCGATGTCGACCGGGGTCTTCACGTTGATAGGGCGACCCACGTAGTAAACACCGCCGTGGCCAAGAGAACCGCGCTCTGCGGCCGCAAGAATGATGCGCACAGTAAAGGTGGTGGTAACGACCGTCGTCATCATGTTTGCCACCGTCTTCACCGCGAATCTTTCTATGTCGAAAGGAAGTGCGAAACACAGAGCAACATTGACAACGTTCATTATGGCAATGCCCTAGCACTTTCCGGTGAGTCGTGCTCAGCAAAGGAAGAATCGCAAAACTGACGAGGTACAACTGCAAGCTGTCTCGATAAATCAGCTTCACCAAGGGGACCCTTCTGAGCTGCAGAGATTGCAATGCACGAGTCAATGCCAGCGCAAACTATTCGGGGATGAATAACTCTTGATGACCCACAACGAGGGATGGGCGCACCGATGTGAGATAGAACCCAAACACCACCACCCAGAACGTCCCGACCCAATTTGCCTTCGGGACAGTGACACAGCCCTGGCCCTCTAACAAGGGTAAGGCTAGGAAAGATTAAGTCTCATCACGGACCGCCTTTACCCAACCGACTTACGACGGAAGAATGCACTGCAGGCTGCCGTCAAGATGACCTGGACGACACCAAACGCCGACATGCTGCACAGTATGCGCCGAGAGCGGTCATAGACAGCGGTCAATCGTATTATATGTACCACTATCGACGCAGAACATCAACAGAAGCAATTATCATGACGAACATTCCCCTACCTGAGCAAAGCGCGAGCACGCAAGCAGACCATATGGGTTCGAAGAGGTAGAATCTGTGGCAAAACTGTCCGTCATCAGCACTGTGGAATGGCCCGGCTATGGCACATCGTACATTGCGTGGAAGCCTTGAATCGTACGTTGCGATAGCTGGGGGTGAAGAGGCTGTGTGAGCGATTCGGGCGTACGGAAGGAAGAGAGGCGAAGTATGAGGCACCCAGCGTAATGCATTGAGGGAACAGTAGTAAGAGTAAAATAATGACCAGAATTTTGAGCGCTGGCCACTCTCTTCTTGACGTCGCAAGCTGCAGGAGCTTTGGAGTAAGAATTAGAATCTCCCAGAACGCCAGTGTTAGGGATGCGATGAAGAAGTCCTTGGAGATCGTGATTCCCGTCGGCAGGTTGAAAGCATTAGGAATGAGCCCGGGTGGGAGGGACGACATGTTGACGCGATACAACTGGTCGTAAACAAGAGAGTCGCTATAAAGTAACCCTCTTCAGTATCTAGGAAAGTCCAACGACTGGATTGGAGATCTCCGTTCAGTTTCTCAGGGAAGCGGGATCGGTCAGTATCCCGGGCACTTCTCAGCCCTGGAAGCATCGCACAGATGAAACGGGAAGACGCTCGGGCACGTATCTAGACGCAGCCGCGGCGGCCTTGTGAGAGATAGCGGGAGAAGCATGATGACCTGTTCCACTGCCAGCGCCTGCCAGCGCGTCAGGATGGGAGGCTCATTCGGGTAGATGGAATGCAGATGGCGCGCCTCATACTGACGTGAGGTCAAACGCATCTGGTCTGTAGCATCTAACTTAGATCTATCCCACACATTCCGAAGACTGTGCGCGACGGTGGACAGGCGACGAGAACAAGAGGAACGGGCGAGCGTTGACCAGTGTTATGATCCCACACGGCGGGAACCGGGCCGGACCGGGCCAGACGCCACGTTGATCCTCGCCACACTTGCCATATCCTTTCACCATCTACTGCAGTGCACATCGGCGTGGACCCGTACCCGCATTGGGTTGCAAATCGGGTCTGGGAATCTCGCACCGGATCCCAGGCATACCGCATGCTCTGCTGATCGAATGCATTCACCTCCGTTGACTTCGCCGCGCTTCTCGCACCCATGGCCGAGCCTATCGTGGATATGCACCCAGCGCTTCTTTGTATATATCCCGCTGAACACTGCCTCGTCAATTCTGGGTAATCTTGCAAGCTGCTGGGTCTCATCCGCTCATCATGGTTTATGCATCCACGAGTTCACCCCAGGCTCTTATCGACCCTCTGTCCGCTGCCCATTACTTCTTGCCCTACCAGGCCGCCACTATTCCTGGTCTCACCCTGCGCGCCAAATTCACCAGGTACTCGGATGACAGCGTCAACGCTCCGGCAGAAGGCACGCCCGTGGTGTCGCTCGTCCTTGCCATAGGCTTGGGTCTAGGTACACAGTGGTCGTCTGAATGCGATCTAGGCGCATAGCTGAACTCTTCGCAGCTTCGGAGCTCTGGATACCTTTCATACACCGGATATACGAGATTCAGAGGAGGAAGGAAGGGCGTACGTTTCAAATCATGTCCATATGGACCATCGATTTCGCCAATCACGGAGGCGCCGCCGTACTGAACGCAGAGGCCCTCACGACCCACTTTTCTGAACGGTGTATGACTCTAAGCTTGATGTTGTGTCAAGTCATCATATACTGATACCACGTCAGTTCCCACATCAGAGAAAACAATCGCCGTTGATTCTTTCTTGAGCTCAAGCCTTCTCTCGGCCGTCGAAAAGGCCAATCTTGTCGCGGTAGGCCATTCGGGCGGCGGAGGCGGGGCATTGTACGTTTTAGAACACGAATCTAACCTATGAGATAACTCAATACCATACAGTTGGTCAACTCTTGGCATGACTCCTGGTCAAACATCGCCTTTCAAAACGGTGATACTCGTCGAACCGCCGACATTCAGCCAAGATGATCTTCCAATCTTCAACGCTGTTGTGCGAGCAATTGCAAAGTTCAATCGTATGAAGCCCGATTTCTGGGAGAATGTCGACGAGGCGATGGAGTTCGTAAGGACATTTCCACCCGGGTCGTCCTTCCATGAAGATGTACTGGCCGTCATGAAGGCGCGTTGACAAACGACGATGGCTCCCGATAGAACACTGACTGAAGCGACAGGAAACCAACTTCCGACCCGATACCCGCGAGATCGACGGCCATCAAGTCGCGGGTGTTACGACAATTATGCCTATCGCGCAGGAAACAGCATCATTTCATAAGAACGGCGAGACTAGCATATGGATCTGGAATCACATGAAAAATGTTTCGCTGCCGAACTCGCTCTTCAGGTTACATGTCATCATAGGTTCCACACCCGGATTTGGGTATGTGCGACCATCGTCCGACGATCCGATCTCTCATACTCCCACCTCCAGGCCCAAAGCGCTTGCCGATTCAGTCTCCAACGAGATATTCTCGAACAAAGAGCTGTTTGCATCGCTCTCCACAATACAGGACACCGATCACTATGTGCGTCACACTCAGTGATTCACGTCACCTCCATCCTGATGACTTAATTCTAGGTACCTCAGGAGAAGCCATATGAACTCGCAGCTCGTATATACGAGATCCTTCAACAGGAGTCCCGCCGAGAGGTGGCCCGGCTATGAGTGAATCCCCACCAAGTCATCCTGGATAGACGAAACATCATCTCGCAGGTCAGATCTCCGGATGTATAGCTTTCGTCATAGGCAATGAGGGCATAGTACTACTTTACTTGATTCCATTTCTCGGTCGGAGAGGCGTCAAACCCGACGAAAGTTGTTGCTACATGACAATGACCAGAAGAGAGTGAAGACGGGTGAAGATGCAAGGGATACACGAGCACATCAGCGACGGAAGGATATGGCAAGAATCATAAGTAGGAAATTGCACGAATTACTGTGTACTAGCCGCGCTATATGAGTTACAAGACGGCATGCAGTCTGACACACGCGCCGATTGCTTTCATGAGCATAAACGTGTGCCATATGTAGTGTGTACGGGCACCGCTGTATTGCAGGGATCCCACAGAGCTCGTTCGTAGCACATGAGTTTAGTTGAAGTCGACGGCGTTGGCCGGCCCGGGTAGTGGTGGCGGAGAGCAACGGAGAGCACGCCTCTTACGCGCCGCCCACCATCATGCTGCGACAAGTGGCTTCGCGGGGGCCAGCCTACCTCCCATTGACACTCTTGGCGCGCAGCTACGCTTTCAGCAGATATCCAGAGCGCTCTCTGCGCCTTGGTCGCACCACTCGCATTCCTACCACACCACAGTCTGCTCGTCAAGCAAGCTCGAATCCAGCGCAAGATGGAGATGCGCAGGAGCAGTTATGGGCTGAGGCAAGTCAACGTGCACCAAAGGGAAATGTAAATGAGGCCCTGCGCCGGCTAGTCATGGATCACGATACGCTAGTCGTTACAAGGTATGTTGGTCGACTGGGGTCCCCTCCACGAATGTTCAATCTGAAGGGCAGGCAGATCGAAATGTTAAACGTTTTTGTCGGCTTCGAACAAGCAAATCGCTACGCCATATGTACGTTCCTGCTTCTCACCTGAGTATGAGTTTTGCATGCTAAGGGAACCTCAAGCGAGCCTTGACGGCACTTCGCTGGGCTACATTGCGGAGGCCGACGCGGGCATGTCTAGCGCGCTCACGCGTCAGCTCTTGAGGACACATAGACCATTCCATGCTGTCATCATGGACAACGACGGTACACCTGTCCTTTGGTTACGTCGACCATTCAGTTGGATCAACTCGCGCATGCGCGTGCAACGTCAGAGTTCATCAAACGTCGAGGACAGCGATGAGCCTGACCTGGACACGCTCGGCGAGGTACAGCAGCGCTGGGATATACTCCGGAGAAAGTACGATGTGTTTCTCAAGGAGCCTGCGCGCCGCGTATTGGCGCTAGCCGACTCTGAGGAGAAGGCCGTCCCATCTCTCGACGAGGAGAGCTACGCCCAGCTGGCGCAGATTGACGAGCCTCCTTTATCATGGGATTTCAACCTGCGCGACGTAGACGGTCTCCCGATTGCAAGCATGAGTAAGAAACTGCGTGGGCTTGCACGAGAGATCTTCACTGATACAAGTGAGTCCTGTCTCTTAAGCGTGGTATCGATACGCTTGCTGATGTGCCCGCAGGCCAGTACTACATCAACTTCAAGCCACGTGAGTTCGAGCTGGGCGACGATGGTTCGCTCATTGTACGCGAGCTCGCAGGCGCGCGTCAATTATCTCTCGAAGAACGCGCGGTATGTTCTCTCGCTTGGTTACTTCAATTCACTACTGATAGATTCATAGATTGTGCTTGCTACAGCAGTCAACGTTGATGTCGACTACTTTTCTCGCCACTCTAGGTAAGTCACATTCTTCACCGTCGTGCGGCTACTCGGCATCTGATGCACAATCTAGTGGTGGTGGCGGAAGTTGGCTGGGTGCCCTGCTCCTCTTCGATATCTTCGGTTGAGCGCAGAGTATTTATATACGTGAGCAGCTTTACAAGCGAACAAAGTCGGGACGCATCGCGGGATCCATGTATCCATACGCATGTCTCGGTCTGCAGCAGACTTGTTGGACGTCTGAATGAAGCACGCAGTGACACAAACTCATTCATGATGGATGACGTATCATCGAAATAAGTCCAAAAGTGGCATACGCGAGAGACGTGCAATGCCACTGGGAGATGCCCGGGCCAAAGTATCCTCGCGACTCCTAATCGCTTTGTCACCAACAGTGCCACTTACGACAACTTTGGTGACGCGCAGGTTGCTCGTCGAGTGTCAAGCGTCGGGTGGACGGATGAGTATACTCTCGGCTGTAACCTCTACTTCGTGCGGCCCACGATGAGTTCAGCCGGCCGTTAATGTCAGCTATACCTCTGCCAGCATGCCCGCGCTGCAGCTACAGCGTCTGTTGATGACCAACGCAATGAGGAATGACCGCAGCTTGCGCCGGAAACGTTCAACCCATCCTCAACTCCTCTAGGTACGGTCTATTAATGCACTAGATACGGCGTCGCTGACACCCACTATAGCACGCAAACAAGTTCCCCGTCAGCACGCCTCCTCATTCTCTCGCTCCAAAGCGAGAAGCCACTGCGCCTCTGCAAAGCGTGGTCTTATAACTATGGCGTACCCAGGTGCGGGAGACCTGTGGAACCTATCAGAATATGCGAAGGCATGCGCAATACTTGTACATACACAATATTTCCTTCCTCTACAACATCGTCCAAGCCAGGCTCTCGGCCCTTTACTGGCTCGAAAGACATCGCCCACAGGCTTGTCGCTGCGATGATGAACAAGGCATTGTTTGCCCAATGCCTCCCCACGCAAATCCGTCTGCCAAATCCATATGCGGAGTGTCCCTCGCCGTGAGTGCCTTCGCTCGATCTGAAGAAATAGCCAGTCGAGTCCAGATGACGCTCCGGTCTGAAAGTGTGGGCGTCTCCGCCGAATACAGCAGGGTCCCGATTCAAAGACCAGACATTTGGTATCACAATGGAGCCTTTCGGTATGTGAAAGCCCTCGTATTCATCGTCCTCCAATGCACAATGAGGGATCGCGATAGGCCCACCTGGTGACCATCGCATGCTCTCGCGCACAACGGCTTGCGTGTATGGCAAGTGTTTGATATCCGTAAGTCTAGGCGGTCGAGCGCGCCCTACCACAGCGTCGAGTTCCTCTTGCGCTCGCATCTGAGCCGTGGGATGTAGAGCCATCGCGATCTGCCACCAGACCAGCGCTGTTGACGTCGTCTCGGAACCCGCCGCGTATATGGAAGCAGACAGCCACGCCGCCTCTCGCGTGGAAAGACCCCTCGAGATTCGCGCTGAGATCTCGTCGTTCTCTAACCGAGTGGTGAACGATGAAATCGGAGTCTGCACGTTGACCCGCTGTGAGATCGACTTTCAGTGGTGACTCTCAGCCACGATAGAGATTGTTCATCGCACCCTTCTCAGATGCAAATTCGCCATATTGATGAATTCGGCATCACTACGCCCGTAATGCTTAGCCGCCCATGTCTTCCATGTAGCACACCACTCAGGTAGAAACCTGAGGAGTGGAAAGAAGTCCACAGCCCACTTCCCCAGGGAGGCGGATGATATCGTGCGGCGCATGAACCTATAGACACACTTCATGAATCGTACAGCGCCCTCGCTTTGACCCGGAAGGTCATATGTGTGTTCGAATAGTGTGTTCGAGATGATGTCTCGGGCGTGGTCGCTCCACCTCTCCGGTTCCGTCAATGCTCTTAAGGCTAGTTCCACCGCCGCGCACTCCTGCGCTTGATAGACCTTGGCCACATTCACGTTTGCTCGGCGCAAAGACTCATGTGCAACCTTGTGCATTCTTCGCCACCTGTTACACACGTTGGGGCGTTTAGATTGAGTTGTCGAAACCAATGCGAGATATGCGCTATCTGACCTATCGCCGTAAGATGCGAGTGGAAGAAAGTATCCTCCAGCAAGCATCTCGGAAGCCATGATCCAATTAGGCCGGTCCGAATAGATGTGGGCACGACGTTCGAGAAGGTCTGTGGCCACTTTGAGAGTGTTCAAAACGACTATGTGCACATTGAGAATCGGGATCGAGAGGTAGATTATACCACCTGGTATGGCAGAGGGGTCAGCATCTGCAGCTACCATATGCAGCCACACGTACTGAGCAGCACATACCGTAAGTTTCACCCCATTTCGCGAACGCAAGCCATTTCCGCGGTCCAAGATCTAGTACATTGCCTATGATAGGCCAACCTGGTGGGCCGGGCGGCTTCCGTCGCTCGTTCGAGCGGGAGAAGAGGACGGTGATCAAGCCCACGACCAGCGTCACGATAAGTATGTTTGTGACCGCTTGCTCGAACAGCATGACAGACAGATGTGCCGCCGGCGACTGGGGGCTTTCCTGCTTGGACATGGCGAGGCAATGTGCCGTGAGGCAAGGAAGCGGGAGAGAAGAATGATGACTGACGCGAGTGAGCAGTTCAGAAACCGGCATGAGGACGGCCGTGGTTCTATATCTATAATGGGAATGGCGTGTTTGCTCTACGCTGAGTCTGCAATAGCTGATACCGCGAGGGAAACAGCGAGGTCTTACGGTCTAGATGCAGACAGAGGATGCAAAGGTATTACCAATTGGGTTCAATCCGCTCACACCGGATTACCGTATGCTTGCCGGAAGGCGCTAGTGGTAGGCGCTCGGAAGCTGATGTCGGTAATCCCCGTAGCTACCTGGCTACCCTTTTATAAAGGCGATTTTGCAAGGGATACTCGCTCTCGTCAGCGCACTTCACGAGTCAAGTGACGTGTCCTGACATCAAAGAGGATAAGTCAGTAGCGAAGGGCGCAAGATGCTGACTTGCGACCTTCTCTCTTTGAAGTATTCAAGATTCATCCCATAGGCGCAATAGCTATATAATTGGGACCCCTGTGACCAAGATGCGCCGTGAACAAAACCGTTGTTTGCATGGTATCCAAGAGATACATAATCTTCATGCAGTGTATGCAGTGGGCCTGGGCCGCAAGGCTCTCGTTGTCAAGCGCTGATAAGTCTGGGGTGGATACAACGTATTCGGGTTGACCGACGGAACATTGATGCGTGAGCAGCGGCGTAGTGACGGGAGTGTTCGCTCCGAAGTTCACCCGCGCCACGACTTCGATGCCCTATGTAAGTACGCCTGCGATATTAGAGAAATTACCACCTTATTCTTTGCTCTTAGGTACGCATGGAACATCATTAATGTTGTGTGCTGAACCCCTTTCGATGGCGAAGGCGGCGCGAACGGCTTAGTTACCCCACTGTATACGTGAACGTTGAACGTTGAACGTTGATCGTAGAACATTCAAACTTCCACGCAGTGGCGATTACACGAGAGTGCATGCAAATGTGGCTGAGAAGAAGGCCAATGAGAGGCTAATGCGCCTCAGACGCAAGGTCGGAAACAAAGCGGTCGAAGTCCTGTTCGTTGACCTCCACAACATTCGTGTCAAACGCGCCCAAACGCGTACGAGCATGGCTCGTAGTTTTGGCATCTGCGAAGCGCAGACCGAAGTCACTGCACGAGCGTTGACAGTCAGTGCATGCATAAGATATGTCTCTAAAGACACGACACGCACTTCTTCTCCACTTCGCCGAACTCCAGGCTCGCGCAGATACCAACGACCATCCACGTCCCCTTTCCTTCGCGCCAGCACGCTAACAGCAAGGGCATACCCTTCCTCTTCCTTCTTCCAATACCGCCGCTGCCACCTCTACTAGCCATCCGATCTCTTAGAGCATCCGTGAGCCACAGGCCCAGACGCGTGAGTAAACCCGGGTGCGCGAATAATGGCAGGTCCGGACCCTGGCGCAATGGGACGAAGTGGTGCGTTCGAGCAGCACGGATCTCGTTACGGTCCATGAGCGCACTCGCTTGCCGCGTCGTCGCCCGGTGAATTGCCTTCGCGAGACCAAGTGCCGCATGCAGGCGCTCAATACTGGGCACCGCACGTCAGTATCTGTGGGACACGATCACGTGGGATTTCGAGGAGGTGGACTTACTCAGCTAACGCGTCGAAGGCGTTCCAGAAGTTCTTTGTGAACTCCGTGTTCTCCTTTCCTTCGTTCTCTTCATCTTCTGCAGCCGCAGCCTCGTCAGCGCCCTCGCCGTTCTGGCCCTTGGCTTTGCCGCCCTCCTCATCGGTGACATTCCACCGCCCGTTCGCTCGCCATACTTTCCCTCCGCCGAACCACTCGCCACCATGGCGTGCACCGTCCACTTCGACCTCTATGCGAACCCCTGTCGCAGCATCGAGTAAGGCGGAGAGACCATCTACGGCGTCGGCCGCTGAGAGAGGTGGGGTCGCGTAGCCGTGGCATCGGACCTGTGGTAGCACAATAATAAGAAACATGCACGCGGGGTAGTATGTATACGGCGCTCACGAAGGAAGGGTACACGAGATCAAGTAGACCGTATTCAGGCGCGATGTCATCGAGCTTCTCCCGCAGCGCTTTCTTGAGGTCTGTGTCCATATGCGCGTACAACTGCTGTGTCTGAAGTACGGAGAACCTGTCGAGTAAATCAACATCGCGCGTCTGACATGTTGCATTTATAGCTTACCCCATCTTAGCAAGGAGCCCAGTCAGTCGCTTTCGGCCAGCTTCCTTCCAGACACCGAGCTTGCCCGCTACGTATGAACTATGGAGCATACTGTCGTACAGCGTCCAATGGCGCCATAGTGCGAACCTGCCGGTGTGCTTGAGCCAATCGCTTGGTGGCCTTGATGAATGAAGGGGTGCTCACCTGAGTTCATCCACTGCTCGAAGACCGTGATCGTCAGGTCCTCGTGCGGCGAGTGCATGAGGGTCGCCAGGTGGTGGCGCTGCGTTCAGACGAGCAACTTCGTCGGCCAACAGTGAGCGTATATTATCATACGCTGTCCGTGATATTCGAGAAGTCAGGTACTGGTGCGTGAGTCCCAGAATTGCTAACCTGGAGGCAATCAGTTCGTCATTGAGCCATTGTAGTAACAATCTGACCGGGAATTACACACACCATAGAAAGTCATTGTCCACGCGCTCGAGCATGGTAGCCAGGACATACACAGTACCGGCCGTACTCTGACCGTACGAGTATCCCGCTCGCTCATATTTGTCCAATCTGGCTCGATGCATATCCATCTCGTCTCGCGTAGGTAAACCGGCGCGATCCTTCTACACGCCTCGATATCAGATCAATGTACAGCGTCTTCATTACAATCGAGACGTACATCTGGCCGATGTCGCTTCCTCGCGCGCGACGGAGAGCCGCGTGCTCGCCGCTTTCGTGTCGGACTGCCGGATTCATCCTCGTCCTCATCTTCGTCCTCTAGTTCCTCGTCCTCTTCGTCGTCATCCATGTCCGGCAGATCATCTTCTTCGTCGGACGGGTCATAGTCTTCGCCTGCCCACTGACACATTCGTTGAGATTGCGTCCCCCCATAACAAGTAGCTCAGCTGACGCGGTACACACCTGTACAGTCTGCCATGGCGTTCGCAGTTCCTCTATCTTGTCCGCACCACTGTCCGCCCAGACTAGGACCCTAGTGTCCCCCACCGCTTCATCCTCCTCATCCTCCTCATCACCACTCCTTCCCACACCTCCGAACATGTTCGCAAGCTCGATAGGCCGCGTACTATCGATGACATGCACGGTCAAGTTCGGGCATCCGCCGAAGAGACCTTCTGAAGCGAGTGGCAGAACGGCGCCCATATTGAGCATGATTAAAGTATGCATCTACGTTCTATCAGTCAATGTGGTTTGGTGACCTATCGGTGTAAGGGTAGCGCTTACTGCGGGATTTATCATTAGCTCGTCGCGTATTGTGGCCAGATGGGCAAGGCCGGCCACAGGGATGATTCGGTGGGTGACATCGTCGTGTCTGAGCAACTCGGCCAGCATTCGGGCGGCACATAGGGCATCAACATCCGGTGCGCATAGTAGCACTACACTATAAGTATGAGTATCAGCGCACAGGCATATGGCGGCTGTCGTGTGGCGACGATATCGCGATATAACGGGGTAGTAGATATTGTGGTAATACACACCTTGCGGCAGCTGTGTGTGGGTTCCGCCTATGGGCGGCTAGTATTTCGGCGTATGCCTCTCCGTATGAAGCTCTTCCAGGCTCCGATTCCTTGGGCGGTTGTATGAACATGTCGAGTCCCTCGTCGCGGTCGGAGGGAGACCAGAACGCGTCCAAGACGCGTCGCATGAACGAACGGTCAACGCGATCACGTGGGTTCGTCAAGCAGACGATCAAATAATCCCCGCTTCCGGTTTGCTTTTCAGGCTCGCCTGCTCAGGATCTGACATTTTGCGGGCGGTCAGACTGGAACTCTCTGTGGCCTTGCGCAGCAGTGAATAAAGAGACTGCCCAGGGCAAGATCGCAAGGACTGGCGGTGTGCGCCAGGCGTCTGCTTGATGCTTCACACGGGTGATGATGCATCATGCATCACCCCGCGACAACCCTCATGCTCGCAGTTTCCTCGTCACTGCTCTTTTCCAGTAGGGTGGTGCGTGGAATCATACGTCCAAGTTCCAGCGCCAGAGAGTGCTCGGGAGGCAAAGGACAATCTAAGGCTGAAGGGATGAAAGCGCCGGATGGCTCGGCCCGAATCTCGTGTTTACACGATCACGCGTCACTATCTGTCGGGATATATAACGCCCGGCCGCGGTCTTCAGTTGGCGTCTATTGCCATGTTGAAACATCCGAGTCGCCCTCGTGTCAGAAATGCCCAAGAATGTATGCACACACGCTTACCGGCCTGCACACACTCGGAAGGTCTGGGAAAGCGAGAGGTAGTTCGGCGAATACGGTGATATACGTGTAACCCGATCTTGGCCGGTTGCTCCCCGCCTTATGTCGCTGTGGCGTCGAACGCAAACTCTGATGAGCTTCTTCCATGCCAGTATCTTCATGCGTACTGATCGAACGGTGAAGGCACTGCGTCGTAGGCATTGCGAGACCGCCGAACCCGGATACAAACATCGGCCAACTCCTGTAGGGTGCGAACCAAGATTAACTCGGCCCCAAGTCGATGCATACCGTCCGTTCCTCGCGCAGGATAGCTGCCTATCCTAGGATATAGCCCTATCAAGTCGGCAGCGCTCCGTGCCTCCCTTTGCACCCCTCCCGTCCTTCGCTATGTCCACGTTCGAAGTGCCGCCCGTACTTCCGTCTCTCGGGCCCAGTCTTGGCGCCCTCGAAATTGGCGTCTTCATGGCTTTCTTCCTCTCTGGTATCACTGCCGTTCAGACGTTCATATACTACCAGTCGGACTTTCGCAGCGATAGCCATTGGATAAAAGTCTTGGTCAGTCAGACTTCCAGCTGCCAGCGCGTCATAATCTGACACGCCTCCCAGATAGTATTCGTACTGTGAGCCCGACTAGTCAGAGCCACAACGGGAAGACGCTCATCTGACGGCAGGGTGGTGGAGATTGTGCACGATGGACTCGTCGCCGGCTTCATCTACAACGCCACCATCAACGGTTTCGGCGACTTCGCTTCTCTCGAGCTCGCTCCCTGGGCTCTATCAAGCTCCATTGCAGTGGGTAGTTTGGCGCAGGCGCCCGTTCAGGTGAGTGCGAATCCCTGTTCCCGTACCAGCGTGAACTGATGGCGGCCAGTTATTCTTCGCGTGGAGGGTCTACGTGATGAGGCGAAAGCACATCTGGATTACAGCCGTCTCTGCTACTGCGTCGCTGCTTCGAGTTGCATGTTCAATCGCTATTGCGGTACTCAGTCAGAACCGCAGCATTATCGTGTCAATTGAGCGATACAAGTGGCTCGTGATCACGACTCTAGCCTCAGGAGCGTTCGTTGACGTGTTGAACACGACGATGCTCGTGTATGTTCTGTATCGCGCCCGCGGAGAAATCTCAAGGTTCGTAGTATCCTTCCTATACCCGCCCTGCAACTGTCCTCAGTCGAGTCCTTAGGTCGCGGAAGATGGTCGAGCGCCTCATGCTCTGGTCCGTAGGTACGTCGTCTGATTGGGCTACCTCTCTCGTTGCTGGGTATAGCTGACATCGCGATACCAGAAACGGGACTGTTGACAACGTCAGTGCGCCCTACTGGTTCTCTTTCACTCGCTAACCTCTCCTCGCAGGATGGTCAGCATCCTTGGCTTGATTCTGGTGAGCCCGAACCCCGTGCTTAGTATTCAAGTCCTGAACCCAATTGTAGTTATTCGCATTGCCAGATACACGTACGTTTTCCCACGACAATGTGGGCGGAGTCGGCTCACGCATGTCGCTTTCAAGCGGCCTTCCTCAGTGTAGGAATGGTGTTCGCCAAACGTACGTGTCCAGACTTGACTATTGATTACGCGGCTGACACGGCAACATAGTCTATTCCAATACTCTGCTGGCGTCGTGCGTGCAATAGCCATGACTACTACGTCGATCTTGAACTATGTTGCAGGTTGAACGGTCGCGTTTCTCTGAGATCCACTGGGACACAGGCGCACGTCAGCGTTCTGACTATAGCTGGAGATCACAGCCGGGGTCTGTCAGTTCTACGGGATGGAGGCTCGGTGCGTCTGCAGTCCTTGGGCTCTTGCATTATGCTGACGGTGGCTGTCTAGGTGCATCGACCCTCTCTTCACGTCGAGCTGTCGCGACAGAAGGTAATCGCGAGAGATTCAGAGTACGACGGGACGGACAACTTCCCACACGAGATATCTGTGAGCGTACAGAAGCACGGAGGTTGGCCGATTTTGACCTCCGTGTCCTAGATTAAGAGCCCACAACTGCTCGCCGACCATTTCCCAGAGGATACTGAGGATACTGCGAACGATGCTGCTCACGGTCGTCGGGTAGAGGAAGGCGTATGAGGGCGTCCTGAAGGCCCATCGTACTTCTGAAACCGCTTGAAGCTCATATCATGTAACTTTCGGGGAGCGACATGTTATTCTACAACTGCAGACTGTATCAATAGTTCAGCGTGTGAAGTATGTCAGCACAGTACCACCTGATCATACAGCGAGCGACCGTCTTTCATCATCGCAAAGGCGCTCTCCGAAGTTGAAGGCTGGTGGAACATGCCAAACCAGATGGCGGCTCCATAAGAAGGCTCGCAGGATACTTAGGAGACGTGTAGGCGCAAGTATATAGGTCTGAACTACTCTCGTGGTTGTGGTCAAGTACAAGAAGCGGACCGGCGCTGTCATCTCAGAGCCGCCATAGGCGTGAGAACATCAAGCCGAGCTGCACCGAACGCGTCGCGTCGCGTCTTCGCGGTCGATTCATGCACCGACCCGTCATCCAACGTGCGGTTTACGCACGAGCCGTGCGCCGTCATGTATCCTCTACAGTCACAACTCGCACTCTCTTCAACTTCTTGAGGCCCAAAAATAAGGAGTTCAAGCCCGACCCTGAACCCTTACTCTCGCAGGACGACCTCTTCCATCCGTTCTCAAAGTCTCCGTTTCCGGCCGTACGCGCGAGAGGAGATGCTGTCAAAGCGCTCGCGCCATGTCCCGTCTGCGCGGATGATGCCGGACTGGACCTCGAACAGCCGCATCTTCACTCCGCGAGGAGTGTGTCATTTGAGTGCCCGGACTGCGGCTGGCCGACCCACTGTAGCGAGGAACATTGGGCGCAGGACAAGGAGCACGAGCGGTACTGTTCTCGGCTCCGCGAAGTCAACGAGGACGAGCATGATCTTCGTTCTGGCCGGAGGCTCCGGGAATTCGAGATGCCGGGCGAGCAAGATCCCGATGCGGCAGTCAGTTTCTCGAATTGGGACGTGTTCTGGTATACGAGGAACTTTGCGAGCATGGACACGGAACGCGCTAGGAGACATGCGAGCAAGATGTTGACATATCCCATCACGGTTGGGAGCGTGCTGCATCAATTCTCGCCGTTCATGATGTCAAACCAGCGCTTGACGGTTGAGGGAAGTCGGTCCTTGGCCGGTGAGCTACCCTATTTCTCATATGTATTACCCCTCCACTAACTCCATTCGTTACGATAGCTTTGCGCTACACACTTCATGGCAAGACCGGTACGCCCGAAACGGAGGAGGCCAACCTGCACAAGCCTAAAATGCGCATCTTCATCCTCGGCGCCCGGCACGAGAGCGCACTCCCGCCTCACGCCTGGGAGCAACTCTGTTTGCTCTTCCCTGCCGCACTGTTCCACATATATTTCATCGGGCCGCAAGTGTCACTGCCACGTCCGTCTTCCGCCTACACGAACGCCAATGGGAGCGCGGGCGTGGAGAACGAGACGAAGAAGAGCTCGGATGTCAAACCCAGCCCACCCGTGGAGAAGGAGGACAAGCCTCTATACACCCCAAACGTCTACACTCCCCCTACACCTCCTGCGATCCAACGACACCGGCGCACACGTGACGGCC